TATTTCATTTAATTTTATTGAAATAGGTATAAGTGTTTGCATTCAGTCTTCCTCATACTGTCTCCAATGTTCATCCGACTCGCGTAGTAATGCGACTATTATAAACTGTATTATACTTTTCTCTTGTGTGTCCTTCAAATTTACAATTTTAAATGATCCATACATTGGTGGATGCTGATTATTATTCTCTTAACCATCTGACCCTCTTTCGACTTCTTACGCTCATATTCCGGATATTTCTATTTTCGTGCTAATTAAGTAAAGTATTAGTTTAGCTTTTTAACCTTCTCAATTTATAAATGTTGTAGTTGTAGGCTAGCCTTTTAATTTCCTACATGGATTGTTTTGATGTAAACAAAAAGTGAGGTTAGAAAATTTTGATGATTTGTTCTGTCAGTAAGCTCAATTTGTAAAACATACTACTGAAATCTTTTCCTTAAAATATTAATCATTTTCTGTATGTTTATGTGTTTATTTTTATCTAATTAGTTTACAACCATAAAATTACAATCAATAAAAGTTCTCGAGACTTGGGACTGCCTTTGAAAAAAACAATCTACGACATTTTCATATGTTTTGATTGATCAGAAGCTATTGAGAATAGTTCTGTAAGAGAAGCACCAATCAGTCGATGTTTGGAATTTTAATATACAAGGAATGTATGCATGATGCCCTGGATCAATTACTTTAATATAATACAATATAATACATGCATCAGTAAGTGTACTTGGACTTGAAGTACCTTACGGTGACATGACACTGCGACACTCTGCAACTAACAATAATAAAAGAAAAAGTAGCTCCTTCATTTGCATTGTAGATTGAATTGAGGGGGCTGCTCTCCAACTTCCGTCTTTTACTCTTTCACAGTACCTTCTTTCTAATATAATTGGACGTTTACCATCTTCGCTGCGATTTCATGGCTCTCAGAATTATACCTCATTGTATTTGCTTTTTCTGTCGTACCCGATCCTGTCGTATGCTTTCTCCTCTATCATCTTTATGCAAAATAGCTCCATTTAAGGTGTTTCCTATTTTGTCACTTCCATTATGATTTATCTCCTCCTCATATCCAGCCTCTATGCCTGTACTTAATCATTGAATATTATTAATAGTTTCTCGAAAGTAACTGTGAAGTTTTGTCCCAGTGTGAGATGTGAGAGAAATTGATTTTAGCAAACCTTCCAACCATCCGTTTTTGAAGTATTGTTTTTTTCTGAAGCTTACTAAATCCTTCATTCATATAAAATCGATTGACTATTGCTTTTGATTTTTTGTTTTATCTTTGCTTCCATATGTGCTCATTAATTTAGTTCAACTTCTAGTTAGAAGATTATTGACTTGTGAAAACAACGCTTGTTTTCATCAGATTATGTTTTGTTATCAATTTATATTATTTGATCATCTTTCTTGAGAACTTTTAAACAGCAAATTTCCGAAAATGAAAGAAAATAAAGATAAATTATTGGTTATTACTATTTTATTAACCTATAATTAGGTAATGATCAGATAGTAAGAGGAGTAAATGAATATATTTAATATATGGATTGTTGTGGTGATAATTTTTATAGAAATGAGTGGGCAGAATGCAAATAAAAAAAGGTAACACATGTCGTAAGCGAACTTTAAGGACGCCATCACATTTTACCAATTTTTTTAGTCTTGTTTTTTCCTTTTCAGTTTCAAGGACGTGTTCGTTTTTCTTTTTTATTGGTAATTCATAAGTTGTTGCCTGCTTATCAACCTAATTCTCATACTGTTCATTCAGATTCCTTTAATCCTTATTTTCATCCTGACTTGATCAGTATCACAGATCAATTAAAAGATTGCAGTAGGACTATATCAGACATCTTTAATATTAAGTACAAGCTGGCAACACCGGATACTTCAAAAAAAAAAAAAAAAAAAAAAAAAAAATTCGAAAAAGTTATCGAAGTAATATTATTCGTTTCCATCTTTTCATTTCCTACCTTTTTTCCTGCATTTGCGTGTAAAATTATTTTGGAAATATTTTAAAAAATTGAGGCATTAAACCAAAGAAACAAATTACTAAACCTACGGAACAAAATTGAAATTGGATTTGGAACAAGCATGTTATAGTACATATCTCAGTTTATATATTACAGGGAATAAAAGGTTTATCGACCAAGTACAATGAAATAAACCTTCAAATGATTACAATGAAATAAGCCAAACTTCAAGTGATTAGCAAGGTCAGAAAGTTACAAAAGCTTTTGTAATAGCTGATGATACGATGTGACAAAAAGTTTCATTTTATCTATCTGTTAGTTTGATGATAGAATGAATTTTTTATAGCTTATAGAAAATTTATTAAAAGATTATCTATTTGTAAACCTTCTATGTTCTTCACTTACACATTACACTCCTATTTGATTCACTGAACCTTTCCATCAATCACTTTATTTCCACACTTAGTAGATTTCAGTTATTAGTGCTAACATATTAATAAGTGACTGTTCTTTCAAATTTTTAACATATAAGTAGTTTTTTGACTGAATCAATTTGAGGATTTTGAATTTCTCGATTAAATGGTAATATTCGGAGATGTTGGGTATTCTTGCTGTTTGTTTAGGAAGTAAAAAAAAAAAAAAAAAAAAAAGAAGTGGCATTAAAGGGAAGTAAGTATTGATGATACGTTAATATTTACGAATATGTATGATACTTGCTGCAGAGCAGTTGTACACACTTGCAATCTCAATCTTTCCATTTTCTTCGTTCTAAAACTTGAAACAGTTTCTTGCGTAAATTTCGACTTTTCTTTATTAATTTTCATTTTATAACTGTGAAATATGGGTTTTCTTTAAAGAAAAAAGTGAAGGATAAGTTAACAAAAAATTTTTCAATTATTGGTTGATTCGTGATTCTAAAACAGCCTCCCTTCAAATTTCATTGTAAGGATCATAGTATCAATATGTGGTTATTACAATCTCTTCTGTTGAAATTAAAAACTTCCGTATAAAATTATATTTGATTCCTTCAGTTAGTGTTGATGAGGGTAATTTTGTCCTCCAGAAAAAAATTTATCACCGTTATGACGGCTAGTAAAAAGTTGAAAGGAGAAATATATTTGTGTAGGCGGCCTTGTAACCAAAAAATTCAAGTGGATGTAGGCATGTATTCAGCGGCCTTGCACCAAATATTTTTATACCATTATCAGTTACGAAACAGTCGAAAGTGATATATGATTTATAAAGTGTGGGAGAGCGATTACTGACCTGTCAAGGCCTTCTTCACAGTTACTTAGCTAGGCTCTCATGACCTTTTTCCCATTTCCCTTATATGTGAAAAGAAAAAGCTGTATTGTCAATTCTGCGACACCATTCGCCGTCTCTAGCAGAAAAACTAATGAAGTTATTGTTCTTCTCCCTCCATTTATGTGCAACAAACTCATTCATAAGTTTGTAAAACTTATGATCAAACGAATCTTTGCTTTTTCCTTTTTTCCCATCAACTTGGCTTTACCTTTTACTACTGCAAATAAATTTCTTCAAATACACCGCTTAGAACTAAGAAATGCATTATGTGATTAACTTAGTTTTTTTTTTTCTATCTCACTTATCGTTGGCAGCAGAATTGCAGCTGCTGAAGAGAAACTGCAACTTGTAATTGTAATTTCTCTGCTTTATTACTATTTTCTTAGATTCTTTAACATATTTCACGTTTTGCGTTCTCATTGAAAGCGATATAAATTACCAAAGAAATTCGCTTTCACAAAGGTTCGCCTTCATAATTGAAAATGATACATCTTGATCAATTGAAAGGGAAGTACAAGGCCGATCACGCAGCCTTTTACTTCCCTCTGTTCTTTACTTAAATCATTCTCTATTTATACAGTACAATAATATATGAAAAATACATTAGTGTTTAATCAGATTTTATGAACTGAAAGCAATGTGAGTTTTTATTCAAATAATTTTTTGGTGTCCAGCAATTCTTTCGTATTCTTTAGCATAAAATATTATTTTATGCTAAAGAATACGAAAGTCTAACTCCTAATACAAGTCTAACTCCTAATACAAGTCCATTTATTCTTTTGAGAGAAGTTATACCAGGAAGTTAGTGGCAACCCTAGTGGAATAAAAATCTGGCAACAAAATGCGGCTAATTAATATTCCAGACATTCACTTATTTCATCGAAACTTCGATACGTGAAACTTTCAAATGATAAAAGTCTGGTTAATCAACAGCATTTGATGGAATAAATGAAAGTATTTACGAAGTTTTTAAGTTTAAACAAAAAAAAAAGAAAAAAAAACTTTGCTTGAAATATGATTACGGGAAAGGATTTGTACTGTGTTATAAAGCATTTATTGCTTGAGCATGTAAAAAATGTGCTTATTGCTCGTTTAATTTAGCTTCATTTCGCATTACTTTAGCTTACCAGTTTCTAATTCATGCGAATTAGATTTTATTCTGCTACACATGCTTTAATTATTTTGGCTCTGCAAAAGTTTCATAGAGACTGGAAGTTATATAATTTATGAATCAGTAGGCGCTTTACAAACATCATATTAAATACCATATTAAATGGAATTTCCGAACTGAGAATGCTTAAACATTTTAAATGCGGTTCGTTTCAGAGACAAATGTTCGATAATAAATATAAATAGGATGATGTGTAGCATGTTTTGCGCTTAATTTCTCTAGCTGTGACAGTAACTGCAAAAAAGCGCCATACATTTGCAAAAGACGAAGTTATAACTAGAATTCAAAAGATCATTTGTAGAAAAAAGAGGAAGAATCTGATATGCTTCTGAGGTACACCTTCTTCAATCTCTTATACTTCTTATGGCTTGTCTTATGCAAATCATTTAAAGTAAGTAATTTACATATTATTTTCTGTTTAGTCTACGAATCGATAACATGATATCGTCTTTTTTATTAAAATCACTGTGACTGCATAGCACACCGAACAGATCAAGAAACTTTTGCTTGAATATATATCACTTTTATTAATTCGGCCAACTCACTTTTCAAAAATGAAGGCTAAGAATGATGAAGTGAGAAATGGACAAACCTTGACATCTTCTTGCTTCACTGATGATTAAAGGAAATATATGGGCAAGAAATCTTTCCTTCTTTCTTTTCATCATCATCTTTTTGAAAATCGAATTAATTTCGCTCGTTTCAAATACTCAGAAATGATGATAAATTGTGAGTGGTTCAGATAGTACAATTTGTAGCTCAGAACAATTATTTCTCTCTCTTTAGATCTTTGGTTTTTGAAAACTTTTTTCAGTTCAACAAAGTTGGTTAATAGTTTGCATGAAACGGCAATGGAAAAGATGCAAAAAGATCTAATCTGATTATGTCCATCCATGAAACAGCTGCATGTATATTTCAGAAATTTATTTATTAATTAAGTAATGAGAGGAATTTTGTATTGCAGACGGGTGCAACGATCGGAACAGATAATGGTTTGATTGGATCGCCGGAAATAAAATGCAATCCGGAAACGATCGAATTAGTATTCAGGACCAAGCGAGAATTTCGAGGTAAATCCATATCATTTCTTATTTGAGTATTTTATCATTCTGCTTACTTCATTATCCATTTTTACCTCGCCTTTTCTGTATATTTATTCAGTTATACTGTTCTGGAAGCAATCGAGGTAGATTTATTCTAAATAAAAACTAGATTTTTCAATAAACTCTTTTACTTTATTTTTTTTCACATATGATATTACAGTCAATTTTTTTGATTAGAATGTTTGCTTAAATAAAGAATATTATTAGAATGTTTGCTAATACTTATTTACTAGCAAAATAGAAATTATTTAAATTGATATTTAGGTAAGATATTTGTGAAAGGTCACTATAGCAATCCAAATTGTCGAGTTGATTATGGCAAGACAACCTTAGATAGTAGAAATTCAGTAGGTGGTATTATATTAAGTCATGGACAATGTGATATGAATCGACAACGAATGGTATGATAACATTTTTGAGGTTCTAATATAAATTTTCAATTTTTTATCTTAAAAGCGTTTCTTCTTAAAAAAAAAAGTTGTCCTTATTCATTTACTCAATTTTAATTAATTCTAGATTGTATTCTAATTAGTTCAATTATAGATTCAACCTGAAGGCATGCAGTTTTCGACAATTCTTGTTATTAGTTTTCATCCGGTAGGTTTATGCCTTTTTGAAATTATTACTGCCGTGTGACTCGTCGAATGCAACATTTTTTCAAGCTGTAAATTTGTCAGCACCTAACTTCGTTCACCTATTTGTTATTTAAGACTAGATGAACGATTATCAACCGAAAAGGCAAAAGCAAAAGAGAAACAAGTGAGAGACATATTATTGCCCTGAATATTCTTGTGGATATTTTGTATTGAGATGCTTAGCACTCATTCTTAAACAATAAGTAAAACATTAGGAAAAATCTCTAGTATATACGCATATTCCAAATTTCAGTTATTTATTACAAAACTTGATCGAGCTTTTCACATCAGGTGCATGTATCGAGAGATCGTACACGCAGTTTCTTCTGGAATTGAAGTGAGGTTAGTCTTCTGTCATCTGAATCTGTTTCTACACATTTACATTGAAATTTATATTAACTGTTTCTAATTCATCATAATAGCACGAGTTTCGAGTGTCATCTGGCTCATGGATGAAACATTATGGAATTAGACGCAAGCCGGATAGTTAGACGATGACCAAGCTGTAACGTGTCCAGGGGATATTTTTGGAAACTGATGCAAACTTGTTTATTTCAAAAATTTTCAAATTAAAAGATTTTTTGATTGAAATTGCGGTGGTTCTTAACACCAAAGTGATTCCAAAGTGATTTCGCAAAATTTCATAATAGTTCTTTACAGTGCAATAGCAACACAAACACTAGAATACGAATATCCATTTCCAAACTGCATTTATACGATTCGCAAGGATGAAATCGACGGACCGATATTGAAATACGCAAGAGTTGGTGATCAAATCGTTCATCGATGGGAATGTCTATCTGGTACGATTCTTTTAATGAGATACAGAAAGCGGATTATTTTGGAATTCTTTCAAGCTATACATTTCAGATGTTTATGGTTTGTTGGTTCATAATTGTTATGTGGAGGATGGACAAGGAGAAAAGCAAGTTATTATTGATGGGAACGGGTAAATTTTGTGAAATCAGCTGATAAAAGTCAGAATGTAGTATCAATATTTCTTTGTATATTTTGTAGTTGAAATTCTTGTCTCAGATGCACCGAACTCGAAATTTTGCAGTAATACTTCAGGTGTCATACAGACAGGGCAGTTTTGGGTGATCCCACATATGTTGAGTCTCTGAACATGGCATATCGAGAATCGTTGGTATTCAAATTTGCTGATCGGATAATCGTTCGATTCCAATGCCAAATTCGTCTGTGCATCAAGGATGCTGGTGGCTGCATCGGCATTACTGTAAGTTACTCGTTTACTAGTTTATTTGCAGGACACCTTCGATAATAAAACTTAGCATCGGATTTTGAAGCTTTTTATATTCACAAAACAGCAATCACGCCATGTTTATCTCATTATACGTTTAAGGACACGTTTAAGAGGAATCCATTTTTCGAATACGTTATATCATATTGTATTTCGTCATCACTATCTCCATACTTCCCTTTTCTTATTTAGTGTGCAAAAAAAAAAAAAAAAAATTCGAAATTGTAGCCGCCGATGTGTTTCGATGAGAAAGAGAAAACGAACGAGCTATTTGTAACAGCAGGTGATTCAGCGGTTCACTCAATAAAAGTGAGCAATGTTACTGACGTGAGTTGACAGGTCTTTGTTTACTCCGTAAGATTAAAGTATCCATCTTCAGTTACAAAAATCCGGAACTAATAGTTCATAAGTAGGTAAATGGTAGTTCAAATTCTTTCCCGTATTTGTGCTGTTAATCTTTCGAAATTCCTATTACCTTGATTGATGATTCTAAAATTCATTGAAAATAAAGTTCGATTAAAAGTTAAAAGACATCCTTGTTTATCCTTTTCCATACTTGAAATACCACAAATGACAAGATTATAGGGTCAATCGAAAAAGCGCCGTCTAATGCGATCGCCAGTATCTGAAAGATCAAAACACACGGTTGATGCAGATTTGATATCACAGTCTGTTTATGTGTTAGATGACGATGATGACAATGCAGGTGATGAATTTCATAATTTTCGCGAGAAATTGGTCTCTTCAAGTCGACCCTTCAGACGTAAATCTTCTTTTCGACATTTATTAAGCCTAACTTTTATAAAAAATAGTTTAGACCTTGTGGAGAATGCATTCCTATTCCAGTAATTATAATTTCGTGTCTTATTTTCTCAATATACCTTTCCTATCTATTATAAAAATTCTTGATCATTCTAACCTTTCTTACATGATCATACTATGTGATGTAAGCTAATTAATTATAAACTAGAGACTTTCAGGTGAACAAAGTGATCAGATAAGACAAAACATACTGGAAGTGTGCGTGAGTAATACATTATTCACACTGCTTATATGTATTACGGTTGTTGCTCTTCTGGCTCTAACTACAAGTATTATATGGATCCTACATAAGTGGCTCAGGCTAGTTTTTGTGCTACTAAATCAGCATTACAAGAAGTAGTTTGCAGCTGGACATATCTTAGATGTGATCAAGTGACCCAAATTGGCGACGAGACTAGGTAATTAGGCAAAAAAGGTTTAAGGAAAATGTTATTTTTGTAATTTAGTGCGTATTACTTTCGTCATTTCAGGTCATCCGGATATGCTATGAATGAACATTATAAGAAACAGTACACTAGCCATACACATGTATTAAGTTTTTAAAATACCCTTATTCCTTGTTCATCCCTATTAACTTTTTGATACTGAATGAATGAAGACAGAATGAAGAATAATACGAACTCAAGCTCATTTGCGACGATTCCGCCTAGCTGTGTATAAACTCCAAGCATTTTAAGAACTTTTTAGTGCAGAAAATGCGTAAACCTATGGATAGACTCACTGATTATTTTTCTAAACATATGATCATTACTTGATTATTTTGTGCATACAGCATATCGTTTTCTTCCAAGTTTATTCCTATGATTTCATTGAAAGATCGGTTACGATGGAACCTTTAGTCATCTCGAATCTAGTTTTACTCCTTTTCTACACTTTTAGTTTGGCCAAATGAAGTTTTCATTATGGTTTATGATATAAGAATATATTTCATTTGCTAAAAATTGTTATCAAACTGAAGGAATACATTAATTAATACCAAACTGTTTTAAAATACATCCGATCATTCTAGTTTAGTAATTCCATTCTATATTTTGCCTCATTCAATAAAGCAAGAACTAATTTCTTCTAATTCTTCTTATCGAGCTTTAGTAATATCTTTCGATCTATTTTCTTCTTTTGGTCAACGTTTCTTCTTGTTTTGCATTTCATCGGTTCTCTTATTTGGGCTTTGTGATATTGCAAATCCAGTATGCACGAAAAAATGAGGGAAGTTTAAAGTTGATAAAATATGAAATTAAACTCATTTTTGTTAAAAATTTAGTTGAAAAATAATGCATATTTTGTTCAATATGTTAAATTGCAATTTGAACACAATTTCGATTCAGTAGTTTTCGAAATTCCCATAAATTTTGAACTCATGCAATTAAGGATTAAAAATCACTTTATAGCATAATATCGCAATGAATGCTGAGAGGAAGATATCGACATATTAGGGGTAAACATCATACCACTTCGATATCAGCAATATGATTTATTGAGGTGAATAAAGGCCTATGGCTTGAGAAATGCTGCTTGGTATCTTTTGAAGTTCATTTTTGTAATGGTTTTTTACTACGCCATATTTCCCCATGTATTTTTTATGTTTTGCATATTTGTAAATTTTTTTCTTAGCTGGGACTATTTGACATAACTTTGACAGTGCAGAAAAATCCTCATCACTAATAATTATTAGTCAGTCACTGTTCTTCATTTATGATCATAAATTAGTAGCTGAGCAAAGATTTCAAGCAAAAGTTCTCTCCCTATTTTTTGATACTGATATGATGACTTTATGAAAAGTTTGGTTCAAAACCGATTCTGAAGAGGGAAGAGGACATTGGAGAAAATTAAGAGTTTGAATAAGAAGAGGAATGAAGAGAAAGAAAAAGACACAATCCCAAGATCTAATTATCGCTTTTGAAATTCTTATTAACCTTTATTCGTCTGCTTTCACTTTTATTCTTATCGACTGTGTTACTGTTTCCTTATGATGTTGAAATGAGTGCAATAACAATAACAATAATAATAATAATAATTTTGATAATAAGTATCGATGTGATAACTATTTTATCAGTAACTAACTGCAATAAACAGGAAGCATTTTTTTTCAGTATCCTTCTTATGCAATACAAAAAAATGATTTATCTAAAACATATTATTATACACAAGGTATTAATGCTACAGTTACAATAAATTGTTTTTTTATAAAATCTGTTGATCCATTGTTGATTCCGGATTCAATACCTGAGTATCACTAGAATTCTGAAACGATTGATTACCTTCATTAGAACAATTAAATGTTACCAAGATAATTAAGATAACTGTGCTTGATCTAAATAGCAGAATTACACTCACCTGTACCAAATCTCTTTCAAATTTAAGATTACTAATTATAATTAATGGCGTCAATCATATTTTAGCACAGTCAAGTTAAATCAGTAAAGGAAGTGATTATTTCTTTAAACTATTTAAAATGTGACAATGTTACCTCATAAACGGATGATAAGTTCCGCGGTGAGTAACTGCTGGTATACTGGCTTTTGGAGTGCTTCCTGCTTGTCACGAAACGTGCTGAACTTCTTCTAGAGCGAAATGTTGAAGTGCCATGTTCTGCCATAGACACGGGGTAATTTTGTCGTTCAGTCATCTCTCGCATTCCTGAATCAAAAGTTAGGTTCGCGTTTCTTCTCGACGGCACTGTCGAAACGTATTCCGGCAGAATCGGTTGACTGGTGTAGCACTGAAATAGCATTGTGAATTTTTAAAAAGTGCTTTGTGGTTGATGTGTTGTAGGTTAAAGCTATTCAACACTTTGATTCAAAAATATCAGTGACTGTGTTGAAGATAAGCTCTAAAAATAATTATTAGTATGTTGATGGCTCCTCGAAAAATATTCTGTTCATAAGTTCAGTTTTTTCTTTTATGTATATATAAATAAACGTGACCGCTGATGAGTGACAAGTTGTATCAATATGTGGGAAAATATGTTGATGGTAACCGTTCGCACTGTCTGAAGTGACAGTATTACAAATATACTTCTGGGAGAACATTGCAGTCATTGGTGTCAAGCCGCTTTTGCTTTCGTCAAATCCAGCTCTTAGCTGTAGGAGTTATATTGTATTAATTTCATTAGGAGAAGTATTTTTGTTCTGAAACAAGTGGGTCACTTTTCGTTACCTATACATTCGAGTTCTAAGTAACTACTGACTACATTTGGCTCTTTTTAATTTATCAAAAACAAAATACCTTAACCCTTCGCACTGAATTACTGCAGCTCAATAATTCGATTTAACGGCTCCATGAATGTGTGTAATGAAGGAAAACTCATTTCACTGAGGTATGATAAAAGCTAATCACTAAGTAAAATGAGTTTCAAAGCCTGTCATATTGATCTTTTGGATGGTTAACAAATTTTCTGCAGTAGTGTATTACGCAAAACACACCTGATCAACAAGACAAGCAATGAATATAACCCATGCTTGGCCCGCACCAGGTAAATCTCTAACAGCTTCTTGCACTAACACCACGTCAACAATAATTTCGCCAAGTTTCTCCCAGTAATTCCCTGTGAAACCATATGGTCGAAGTCTCCCATGTGCTTTACCTGCAAGCAAGATAAGCTTGAATTTGCTAATAAAGTATTATACTAGCTAATTTATAAAAAATTCAAATGACTGATTTTAAACTGTCTTTTAAAACTTGTGTTGTCTCTTCATGATTCGAAGTAAACTTGACAGATTACTCCTCTTGTCGTAAAAACGACACATTTAATTACATTCAAATCCTAATATTTTTGCCAGATGCGTGATGAGTCTATCACCAAATGTTTTTGTATTTGTAATCAATCTATGCCATTATCCTAAATTATGCTAATTACTTCCTCTTTTCTCACACAACAAAGACCTAATCTTGTTACCAGTCTTTGTTTCATGGAAATGATTTCCGGTTTAATTCTTTGTACAGTTTAATTCTGTATATAAACTAACCAACCTTCCCTACTAACCGTTATTTCATTCTATGTTTTTTGGAGTACTTTGATAATATTTCAGTGTTTTACAATTATATTATATTCAGTGTTTTACAATTATATTATATTTATTGCGCGTTGTTATGATGTTGATTTTACGTTAATTTTTAATGTTGATTTGTTGGTTTAATTACCCAAGTTTGAGCTCGGCAAAATAAAATATCTAGCAATCAATAAATTCCACGACATCTCTTAATTTCAGTCGTCATTTCAACTTATGTTTTCTAATAGATCCAGATAAAAAGTTTACAAACCCGATCCTATGTTAAAGCATATTTACTAAAATATTAAAATGCGTATTCAAACTAAGACTGAATTCACCGAGTAAGAAAGGGTCGTAGTCACTGCCTGTGTCGTTCCTTTCTTTGTCATTTACTTCCAGATTCTTAATCGCATAATCGATCAATTTCACTGTCTCCTAAAATCTTTTTTAACTCAATGCCTTTTCAAGAAAATAAAGAAAATGACCATTAATCTTCTTGATTATTCTAGCAGAAAAAAATTGATTTTCCTTTATTTTACCTAAATTGAAACATACCTTCGCATGATCTCTTGGTGTGGCTGTTTCGCTACGTGACATTGCAGACAAAAAGGTTCGTGTTGTGAACATTTCCCAAGTTCCGGGCAACTGCCTTAAAAGGCGCTCATAGACCTAAACGAACAATTGACTCGTTTCTTTATTGAAACGTACACTTTAGAGTTAAGTAAGATCCAATAAGAAGAGGAGACGGTAAGGAAAAGAGAAATAAACAAACGTTTAGACGTGAAATAGAGTTCCAAAAATTTATGAAACTATTGATTTTCGCCAAAAATTATGACTGTGCTTGGATGTAGTAAAATTGCAATCAGTCAAGTTTATGATTTCATAACTAATCATTTAATGACTAATGGTTTCAGTATTAAAGAGTAAAATGGATCTACAAATGGAAAGCACGCAAGGCATTATATGCTGATTATTTGTTTTTGTCTTATTTATCACTTCTTATTTTGCTTTCCTAGGTCCCAGTTTGTCTCGATCACTTGTGACTCATTAAAAACTTCGATTAAAATGATTAAGAAATGTTATTGATAAAGATATGTAGTATGAATAACCTCTTCGAAAACATTTCCAACTCGTTTTCCACCATTCTTTGTTTGCAAACGATGCCACGTGAAGCGAAGAAATCGTTTTTGAAGTCGGTTCAATCTTGAGTTATAATCATAATGTTTTAAAATCGGTCCTAAAGATAATTATAGAAAAATTATGGATATAAAAGCACCATGAAATAAAACTTCAAAATCTTAGAGAAAAATCATTTCCTGTTTTAAAAGTCATAACTTACCGATGATAGGATCGGACACACTTGGCATACTTGATGACCGGCGTATATGAGATGGCACTGCAAGATCGCTTAAGTCTAAATCTGTTTCGACTCCGTCTGGTAATGAGGTGTCTCTCTTTTGTCTAACTTTTCTGCAAATGAATGTTAAATGAACATAATAGCTTCATTGAAGAAGATTTTCCTTCCTGTAGTTTGTTAGTGTTAGAAAAGAGAATAATGACTGTCTTATAGTCCTGCATATACCACACCTCCATTCGAATGTTTCATGATCCTGCTCAACTCCTAAATTCTATGCAATATTTCAAAGTTGCAGTTGTGTAAGTTAATCTAGAAAATCGGCGATAAAATTTTGGAGCGAAATAATATCGTCGAAATGTTCATGACCAATTACATATAGCTTGAAGACATTTTATGTGATTTCATGGCAGATAGTCTAAGCAAAACTTAATTTTTTTTTTATTTAGCATGAAAACAAAAGTTGACACTCAACACGACACTCAATAGAAAACATAAAAACAAGAGGAGTGAAAATTATCATATTTATTAGAAAATTGACAGGTAATCAAAGTGACTCGTCCACACACATATATTACTATTTGAATGCAAATGAAACCGTATTTGCAGGCTTCACATAAATCCGTCGAATATCATTTATATATCCAAGAAAAACTATTATGCAGTTGAAATTTATTCTTCTAATTATTAGGAAAAAGAGCATTAATAGATGTGCACAAAGAAGCCATAATTTGTTTCAATAAAAACACCGCACTTCTTATTTCACTGATATCGATGGAACTTCACAAGTCAATGCAAACTGTTGCACTGATAATTATGATAATTAATATAATAACTACAGAAAAATTCATCGCTAGTTCCTTAGTTGCATAGCATAGAATAATGATAAGAGAATTCATTAAATATTTTCTACGATATTTACAGCGTTAAGGTACCTTCCTCAACAGTGTTGATCAAATCAATCATCATCCCTCTGTTTCGTTTCGGCATCTTGAGAATCTTTAGCAGACTCTGTTACCCATACATTTGTAGGAAAGGATGTTCATATTTTTCTTGCGATAAAGTCGGATATTACAATACCTTTTAAGATAACATAGTAATCTAAATGGGTTTGAAGTATTATTCTGCTATTAATTGGACTGATCCCAAAGAAGCGCTTGATTTATTGAAATTAGTGATATCTTAACAGGAAAGCATATGTTCATCTGGAAAGTATTTTTTTAAATTAGCGATAACAATAAAAAGTCCTATATCATAAAATTTTTGCAAACATTTAAATCAGTGCAGAGATTTAAAGCTGAACTTTCAGTTCATGTTTAAGCTCACTAGTCTAAGATCCGCACAATGCTATTTAATAGCAACAAACACAATTCACTTACTGATACTCAAAATTTTGAAGATGCAAAAACCTCAATGTTTATCATCAGTTGATTAACACTTATCGTTATCTTCAGCAATTAATTTTGTGTACGGAGGAGAAAATTCAAATATAAGTAGAATATTTCGGTCACTTGTTATCTTTTAATTAATTTAGCAGGCAAAAAATAAGAAAGTTTATTTAAACTACAGCTATCCAGCTGAGCCAAGACAAATTATTTTTGGCTTGCCATCAAGCTGTCTTCATTGACTTTAAAGAAAGAAAAATGATAAAAATATGAGAAAAGTGAGAAAATACAAAAAAGAAGAGATAATGATGGTATTATCAATCACGCAGAAAACATCGAGTAAGTCTAAAATGCTGTCTTGCTATCATGAATTACTTTAACAAACGAATCTCTACAGCTCAAAAAGTCTAGACTTGGTCTTGGCCTTGAAAGCAGCTAACAGTTGCAATAACTTTTTTTTTCTCTAATTAGGCTCATCTCAACAGTAACTGGCAGTTTTCAATTTTGTAAAACGTATCATACGCCGGAATCACTGGATGTGTCCTTCAAATGACATTTAATACAAAGAAAAAGAAACTTTTTTTTTTTTCATAAACTTCCTACTTTCCTAAAAAACAGGTTAGTTCATATCTGTAAACGTTCACATTGTTGTCCTAATTGATGAAAACCTGAGTGAAAAAACTCGGTCCTCGGTCAGTATGTGTTTCAAATGGGATAAATTTCCAGAAGCATCTACTGGACACTTATTAACAGACCATTTCATATTTTTTCATCGAAAAAGAGAACAACTTAGCCGAAGTAGTGAAATGTCACTTCTGTTGCTACTTAACGCAAGCTAACAATAAAGTGAGTTACTGCTAGCTTTTTGAAGTGTTAATTTTAATTAAAAAGATTAAAAAAAAAAAGATTTCCAGTACCGTGTATAGTCAAAATTCAAAATTATGCATCATATGTCAAGCAAATACCACTTTCATAATTTAATTGCATGGTTATTCACAAATGATCAATTAAGTATTGTATAAAGTTTCATCAGGTAGTCATTTTTTTTATTTGTTAGTCGTCAATTTGTAGTATTATAGCTTCAATACTTCCTATTGCTTTCGACTTTTTGCTTTCATTTCGAGTATGTTTGTTATTCTAATTCGCATTTGTTATTTTCTTTTTGAAACATAAACTAATAAAATGTAAAAGAGAAATGCGACCATCCTTTTGCATCCAACCTAAAAGTTGAATTGTGAAGGAAAAGATAATTCTGCTTATAGATTCCCAAGAAGATCAAGACATGAAATAAGTGTAGACAGTACTTACTACCACATTTTCTTCTCTGTCCTTAAGAATAAGATCATATGAGTATTACGTGCACCAACTCTGCCCCTCATAACAGGATTTCATTTAAATCAGATTTTGCTCTAAATCATACTGAAAATTCTTAATTACCTTATACTGGGTAGATATCAAAGATTCTAGGCAATCGAAATTAATAAAGTTTGCAAAAAAAAAAAAAAAAAAAAAAAAAAAAAAAAAAAGATAGAAATAGAAACTGAATGAATAAAAAGTCGTGGTAGAAAGTCAATAATAGGAAGTTAGTCGTCACTGTTAAAATTGTGTATTTCTTCTTGAATCATATCTGCTCTAAACTAATAATTAGTTTTCACTGATAATTAAAATACAAGAAAAAACTTGTGTATCTGAAAAAATTTTCCTTCAGGTTATTGATCGACAATGTAAATGTATTTCGTTTCTTACTGAAGATTTTTTAGAAGTTTAGTGAAATAGAATTTCAATTCTTCATTTATTTTCCTAACTATAATCATAACATGACAATCGAATGATCTGCAATGAAATTAGAAATTTGACTCAAATCTACTCAGGAATAACTAAAAAAAGAGAACTGTTGTGATGAAATAGCATGAAAGTTAGTAGCACTTTTCATACAAAATGTGTCGCAAACTTTGATCATCACTTGATTTGCAATGACTGTATGGGTAGTATCATTATTTGTCTTAGGTGAAAAAAAAAAACCTAGGTAATACAAGAAAACAGGATTGAAGAATAAACTCCAGAAATAGCGTTGTCTGGCCTGAACTAGCCAGAACATTAAGCTGTTTAGAAAGAAATTAGACTTAGACTGCTATCAGTTTTTACAAAAGTAATAATTCTTGTTGAATTACGAATACAATTAATTCAGCACTTAATTCTTCCTAAAATATAATTTGACATTCCAATTTTTATATAAGTATTACAGATTGAATATTTTATTACCTCAAGAGATTAATTAGTAATATTTGAAATGAAAAATGTAGAAATGGAAATAAGACCTGCAGGATGATGGCTGAGCTGTTGTATATGTCATATTCGCATTAGATGGTCCTGCTCCACACTGATAGTTGATCTAAATTGAAACTGATTCCATAAAGTTCTTCAAGTTCAAATTTCCACTCAATTTTTACGATGAATGCATTTGTATTACGAAACCTACACATTCACGAGGATAAATACTTAAAGCCTACTGCAAATTTCTTATTTCTCAAGTCTCTTTTCTTCTTTGCTTTCCAGCTGTTCTTATCCTCTCTCATATTGTTTACTGCACATTCCAAAACTGATTCGGAACGAACTGTTTTTTAACTTATTTCGTCAAATTTTAGAAAAACCTGTGACGTTTCATCCACAGACTTTTCCTTTTCCACCCGAGTTGCTAGTACACTTTGCCGAAGAATCGTCGCTGAAGGTTCTATTCCAGTCACTTCTTGTACTGCTTTTTTTTCAGTCTCAGCTTCAAGTTCTTGCAGTAATCTTCTGCCGCGTACTATTTTTGATATTAAAAACATATCTGAAACAATAATTACCTTAACATCATAATTGCAGAATGATAATCATATCAATATCAAACAGTATACGGTACGTATAAGGAAAGCATCACGCATAATTTGAAGAAAAATGGAGAAAATTAAGACCAGAGTTACCTGCATATGCAGATAACTTATGAAATTATGTTTATACATGTACCCAAATTAAAGAAGATGTTAATGTTGGATAATTACTTCTTTAATGATGTTTATTTTTTCGAAATTGGTAACAAGAAGTTGTTTTTTTCTCGTTTTCTTATTGGAGTACATTCGTCCTTATTGTCAACTCAAAGAGCTGGTAAATCACAATCACAATTTGTTTGACTTTTGATTTCTAGTACGCCTTCAGTTACATACAAAGTTTTTTGCATGTAATTGAAACTTTTTTAGGCCAAACATATCCAATTTAAATCAAAAGTATTGCAGCTTGAAACTTTTCTAACATGTAACTTAAATTTTGAATAGCGATAGCTTTACGGTTTTAATGTAAACTAACTATAGCTTTACAAGAATTATATATAAAACCATTTCAATTCTCTGGCTTGTAAGTGCTGGTCGTGAACTATAATTATTGGAAAGAATGACTCAGAAAACTTCATAGTTTTAATTTTGTGCTATGAGAAATCCTGTTGAGAAAGTATTTATGCCATTATTTATAGCTTTTTAAGCAATTATCATATAGCTAAATACACTATAACGTTTCATAAGATATTTTGAAGCGAAATATATCCGATTTATAGATTGCCAAATATCCTTGATTTCACTGTTTATTTTTACGTGCTACTGTTCCCGTGCTTCCATGTTCCGGGAAGTGAAGTTAGTGTCGTGGAGAGAGCAGATGAGAGTAGGGAGAAAGCATTTACAGGAGATCTGTCTCTTATGAGTATAGATAACTTTCAGTTTTTTACTCAAAAAAAAAAACTACCTAACAGGAAGTTAATGAATGATAACATGATCAAACTAGGGACAATAAATAGATATGGACGACGTCTTATGCCACGTGTAAGTTTCAATCAATATACTGCATCATGAAACGTCCAGTATTACTGGAATTTGGAAAAATGAAAACCAAAAACCTCGTCAGTAAATTTTTCCAGTGAAAAATGTAAAATTTCTTTGGAGATATTTTTTAACTAATTTGTAAAATAAGAAAAACTGCCGTCTCGAAAAAAGAGAAAGTATTTGTTGAATGGTTTGGATATCCTATTGGAAGAACAAGGCCTGAACAGAAAAAAAGCACCTGTTGGATAGTGCTGAACATTATACTGAAAAACAAGGCCTGAACAGAAAAAAAGCACCTGTTGGATAGTGCTGAACATTATACTGAAAAACAAGGCCTAAATAGGAAAAGCAAAACTAACAGCAAATAATAAATGGTTAACAGGAATGAACATTATAATGGTATCTAATATTAGCTAATTACTTACAGAATAGATCCACATTGGCTTAGCGTGAAGCTAATCACGTTTTCTGCAATACTGAAATTTTGCTGTTTTATATTAGAAAACATTAATATTAATGGATTTTATGTTCTCCAATAATGACTTATTACTTATTGCTTTTCTTATATTCATTTTAAACTAGAAAAAAGACATTATAAAAAATGAATTTTGAGCCAATTTTTTATTTGAAATCAAAATGGGAAATGACATAAAAAATTTTTCAAAATCTGTCACTCATAAAGTACTTTTCTACATAACATTGTCAAGTTCACAGCAATTTGAAGTTTAGTAAAATTACGGAGCAAAACTTTTTCTAGCTCTCATATGAGTCCAAATCTAACTATTCACAATTTAAAATGTCAAAGTTTTATATATGTTCAGTACAATTGATGAATATGAAATCCGTGTACAGTGGCTAAAACTTAAGATTGAAGAAAAACTTGAGAAATAGCAGTCTAGAAAATAATTTTAATGATTTATAATATCGACCTATTTAGTATTAATAGAAAAGTGTTTCAAAACTTTTCATGTCAAAGCCGCTAATTCATGACAGTAAATATAATGATATTATATTATTCCATTTCAATTTCGAGTCCTTATCAGTTTTTTAGTTTTAGCAACTAATATATGAGAGCCTTAGACAGGGATGATAAAAATTTATTGAAAACAAGTACAAAGAGTTATCAACTTTTCTTGCTGTGTTTCTTTTCAAAATGTAAGGAAAAAGGATGAAAAAAAAAATAATTGTACATTTAAATTTGTGAAATTTTCTATGAATCTATTTAAAAATTTTAACTTGCAAAGATGAAAAATTTCAAGTTTTTTATGTAATAACTTGTAGTGAAATGTCCTGTTTTTTAAATTCGATTTAGCTTTCAAAATTCTGTGATTCCGCGGAAGTATTTTATGGTGTTGCGATGGAAGGAGTGAAATAAATCTGGTCATTAAGAGAGATTTTTTATAAATTAACGACAGACTGGTAATGTTTCTTTCAAATTTCTTTTTTTTTCAAAGAAGTTTCAGCAAAATCTCGAAAAATGTGAAAAGTTTCAAACAACGCATCAGCTGATACTGATACAGGGGAGTATCAAATTGTGATGGGAAATGCAAGCATAACAATATCAACAAAAAATTGAATGAAATGAAAATACAGTGAAATAAAATAGCAGCTCCAAAAATCAGAACTTTGTGGTTCCTATTTTTCCATAGTCATAAATCATTCTTCCGTGAAAATGTGATGTTGGAGAAGTTATTTTCTAACTTCCTGGCCTATATTCAAATACCACTTATAGCTGTATTTTGTTGATTCCAGCTATTGCACACAATAATCTCTAATCACATCATTCGCTTAGAAAGTGGATAGAAATCGAAAGGCTGGATAAGATTCCACTTTTCTCACTGCACATTATTTGACCTAAATTATATGTGAAAGTGGTAAAAACTGAGTGCTTCAAAGGGAGGACAGTTACACTTCCAAATATTCTTATGAATGAGCTAACTGATGTTGTTGAGATATGTGATTTGAAGTACCAATGATGTCGGTGACAAGTACATTAAACAGAATTGCTTAATTACAAATCATATCTAAAAGATTCATTATCAGTCAGGTCCGTACTTAATAATATGCTGAAAGGGCAGTCTTGTTGAGGTCATCACCAAAGTCGATAGAGAATTTTAGGACATGAAAAATCCTTTTTCGGCTGTTACTGAAAATGTCGATAGTTCCCCACAGTTTCAAAATCATGTTTTTAAGAGCTGGAACAAATAGTACTGTAGCTGAAATCGATCCTGCCGTATCCGTGCTCATTCATTTTTGTTTTCGTTGCAGCTAAAATTAAATTCACTATTTTCTGAAACTATAAAATCACTATTAGAAAGTGATATAATAAAATGTCGCAAATAAATAACTCCACTGATCCATGAAAGCAAAGTATTTGCACCTACTTTATCAAATATTATTTAATAATTTCAAACACTAACAACAAATACTACCTAATAATTTCAAATAAACTATTAATTTGAAATATTCAATATGAATATTGGATAAAATAGCACAACGCAACTTACAATGGATTTTACGTGTTTAACTCATAGCTATGAAATTATATTTATATATTTAAGTGTAAAAAGAGAACTGTGAATACAATAAAAAGTTGCCGAATAAATTCAAACACAGAAAACATACATTATCTTTACTGCAAACATGTATTTTTTGCAGTAAAGATAATGTAGAGCTAATACAGAAGCACACATACTGCCTTACTTTACTTATGTCAGCTATATTTTTCAGCGTTATATCATTCATGTAATGAAATATTAAATTTTTGCTAAAGAACGACGAAGGAAATGGCAAAATTAAGAAGTGGTCATATATATATATATATATATATATATATATATATATGATAAACTAAACTCACATTACATTCTTCAAATTAATGCGTTTATAACAAAATCAAAAAAAAAACTTAACCAACGTTAACGCTAATATTAACTAGCGCTATATGATTTAACGAATGCTAATATTCAAAATAAACTAATATAGGCTTAAGTCTAATACACTTTTATAGTTTCATATCAAATAACTTTCTGAAAATAAGTAAGGAAATTCACCTTTCACTTGCAACTTCTTCAAGACTGGCTCTTTCCCACATTCCCTATTCTTTTTATCAGCTGTTAAAGCACATAAGTACGAAAAGTTGTCACTTTTCATCAGAATCTCATAATTTCTTTCAAGAGGAGAAATCAAAATACCAAATTTAAGAATAAATCTAACTATAGGTAAGTGTAATTAGAAGAAATGAAATGAAGTATAAATAGAGGAAGAAGTGATTGATAATAGAAATGCTAATGCTAGTAGTGGAATTGAAAAGGGAAAAAATTTTTGTTTTACGAGCTTTCTGCTAATAAGAGCATGTGATGTACTGGGCTTGCTAATATAATTATGGAGAATGCTTTTTGGACCAAAATTAACTGACCAAAGACAAGATGGAAAAGTGGTATCCTCCCAAGCACTGCTAGTGAAGTGCTTCACCTGTCCGTGACCAATGTGAACTGTGGTCAGTAGATTTCGAATGATTGCAATGGAACGGTTGTTCATCACAAAGCTATCAAGGGAGTTGCATAGTATTCTTCACATCATTGACAAGACATTGTCACAGCTGCAAAAATCTCTCAAGAACTTCAATCACTAAGGAAGTTTATAGAATTTCTGTGAAGACGACATGATCTTCAGTTCTGTAAACCAGATGCTTCTCTCAATTTCGGACAGTAACAATTCCGGCGAAGTCTACTGCTGTATTATTATATCTAACCTGTAACCTGTAACCTGTAACAGTCTTGCCATTGTTGTCTTTTGTATGTCTTTTCTATTTTAATGAACTACGAAAAAATATCTCAAATATTCACCAAGTCTGACTTATCATACAGTACTGCTATTCAAAATCAACATCGATTCCATTTTTCCTGTTCATTTCATACCATTTCCGTCCTGACTGATCAGTACATATACTTATACTAACCGTTTCAATCTGATAACCCACGAATAACTGTATTTGTTAGACATCTGCTTTATTAGAAGAGAGCCCTGTAGAATAGGTTGTTAGACATTTTCCTTATTCTCTGCTCATATAAACCACATAAGAGCATTAAAGAGCCCACTGAGTTGTCGATGCCCTTACACAACAAAGGGAGAGAAAGATTGAATCAAATACTGCTTGATTTACTACTTATGGAAACATTGGCCACCTAAATTGGAAGGTCACAGTATACTGACAATCATTAATTGTCAGGATTTCTGACTTTAATTAATGATTATATTTTAACTGTAAAGTACGAAACTTCTTTCTCATTTTTGGCGAAATAGATAAACTACTCTTAAATAGAAATTATGCATTGAAACTGCATTTCGCTGATCTCATCATTTATAAATGTTTGATAATGGACATTCCATGAGGGTGTTGCGGTTATCCTTTTACTGATAACTCTCTCTATCACTTGTGGTATTTGATCAAAACATGAAGTACCATACATCCAAATGCAGACTGGAAATTCATTCTTTATTAATACAGTATTAGACATTCTAGTTTCTGAAATGGTACTTTCGTCTAATATAAGGGGCAAATGTAATTCACGAATATCCCCACAGAAAGAAAAATTATCCCACATTTTAAGCTAAACATGCAACTTCAACACTGCAAAATGTTAGTGCTTTCGAATTGAAGCAAACGAATCACTTCCGTAAGGCAATACTTCCGTTATCTGATTAACAGTACATTTTCCCTCACATGTTCTATTTAAACCACCCAGCAACATGCCTATAGCTTGTGTCAACTAGCATGAGGATAGCATGTTCGAGTTGAAGAAGCATATACTTCTATTTCCAGTCCACAAGCCTGCAGTTCGATGCACACTCATAGCTTGCACTTGCACATGCTATTAGGGACTACGTACTCATTCGAGTGACTATTTGAATAGCAGTTGAGAATGAATTGATGTAAATTCACGAGAGTGTGTAATATTCATTCAGATGATGATTTCTGTTATGTTTGAGCACGTACTGAGCAAAAAATGAAGATATTTTGCTTACTAATAATCTCTTAGTAATCCTTTCAATTTCCTGAAATACTCATTGCAGAACTATGTTCTTTCAAAAAATTGCACATTTATATATATATATATATTTCTGTTATGCATCGAGTTAATGAATTGATGTGGTGCTTAGCAGAAGTTTAAATGTGAGGAAAGAATTTCAAATATTGTCTTGTAAAGTCAACTTATTAATCTAAACTAAATCATTCCAAGCTTATTATCAGTAAGGGATACCTATTTCCAAACTAAATAACATGAAACAAATCAAGTGAACAAAAGATAAAGGATTCCGGTATGTATTCTGTCGGAAAACCGAAAAAAATATTTATTACACAGTAAGTGTTTAGAATAATACTAATGATTCATCACTACAAACCACTTCGTTATTCCTTTGTTATATCCCATTTTTTTTTTGAAACAATGAATCCTTTATCTAAACCTCAAATAGTAAATGTACATCTGTCTTCACTGTAAATGTTAATCTGCTAAGCCAACCCAGCCCACTTTCTACATCCTTAAAAGCCTTCTTTAATCTGATAACAACAACGAAACGATCGGTGCAGTCTTCTCTTCCTCCTACTCACTCAACAGTACCACTTACTCCTTTGCTGTTTCAATTATTCGACTATAAAAATGCGGATATATATTTATTGTATCGAATCACATTTATAGAGAAAAATTATCTGGCAGTCAAAATTTCACGACATGTCCGGAAAACGAGCATATTATTTGAATCCATAATATATGGACTGTTGTGAACAAAATAGCTGTTATTAATACCATTACACTGTTGTTGTCAGCAAATGAAGATGAACTGCTCTCTGCACCTTAAATTCTTAGCTGCTTCCTAATAATTTATTTGAATTTGATAGTCTGGTTTCCATCTCAGAAATCTTGTAAATCCACTAGTATATACTGGTCCAAAACTTGACAGTATTACACCTGCAGCACTTATTTTGCAAAGGTTATGCCGATGCCATTCGACTGAATCACAAAAAGCTATTCAGTTGAAGCACTATTCGATTTTTTTTTTTTTTTTTTTTTTTTTGGACATACTAGTATGTTATTTTAATATTAACAAGTTCAGAAAAGAAATTTCTACTTTGGGAAGGAGCTAGAAAGCAGTTAGGTATTGGTAGCAATGGTACACATAGAAAATAAATTTTAATAGAAGAAAACGACGCTGTAGTACGATTAACACTTTCTTTGTTCTTCCTCACTTATTTTATAACTATATTCGGTCTTTTAGACTAAAAGAACTAAAAGTACTAGCTGAGATGTTTCACTTTCTCCAAATAAGAGAAGCTAAGAAAAATAAGCTATGCAATACTCACTGAAATACTAGTCGGAGAAGAAGCTAATCGATAATCCATCTATTAAACTTATAAAATTTCTGATATGATTCACCATTAAGTCAGCATGATTAAATTTGTAAAATGCTCCTTTTCAATCCCAGCTGATGTGCAAAGATGTGATATTATTTTTTGTGAAGACACTGTATCAGTGAATGGCTGCAGTTTTCCTCCAGTGTATGTGCCACAACGCTATGTTGTACTAAAACGAAGTATTTGAATTTTTATTAAAAGCTCTATAATAGAGAAAATAAGTGAATTAACAGCTTGATCATATGTTGTAGAGATTGGAAATCTATGCTCCCAACGTACCACTGCACGGTAACCAGATATTCGGGATAGTCACAGCATGAATTTTGATATGTATGTATTCCTCTGGCAACTGATCGATAATCAGTTAAAGTTATCACCTGCTGTTGTTGTTCAAAAACTACAATCAAAAATAGCCTTATCAGATAGGAGTGGTTATTTTCCAGTTATGGATGCGTATTTAGAAAAGTGATAAAGCTGTTTTGATAAATGATAATAACGATCCACTGCTGCTTCTCAAAGACAAACTTCAGACAATCAACAGGTGCATGGATTGTGATTGCCGTCATCGCCATCGTCATAGAGATAATATATGTGTACATAATCAGTACATAGTATATCTAATAGCTCTGAAGAAATGTGTCAACTAACTAACCTGCAATATGATATCTTCAAGAGTTAGTAAATTAAAATCTGCACCACGTTTTGGGTTGAAGAACCATTTGACGGTAGCTAATTGTCATCAAAAATATAACAAACAACTTTTACTTAAGCTGATTATTCCGTATTTGAAAAACAAAAAAACAAAACTGATGAAAGAGCAACCAATTCTGAATTTGAGAATGAAAAAAAATTTTGTGAGATTTTCTATGAGTAAAGAAAGTTCATGCATAGATTATGGTTGCACTTCTCTTCTTGACAACAGTTCATGTTATTCGTATTCACTTCTGTTATTCTAATCTGAACTTCTGCTATGTGCTTACCACGAAATCGATGAATAAATCATACGCACAACTAGTTTGCTACTATCTTTTTCATTTAATTAGTTGACATTTTTATGTGTTTTTGTTTAGAGATCATATATTTATTTAAAGGATCTATGCAGTAAACTAAACTGCTGGTCATCTCACTTTACAACATTAATAAATCTAGTGCTATAATCACATGTGTTAAGAATATTTCATCATTATCGTAAATGATTAGTGAAGTCTTTTAAAGGAGTTGTTAACCATGAATACAGTTATAAAATTAAGACAATGCATTGCAAAACAAGTGAAAATAAATTATTCATAGGCTGACCTTATATGACATTCAGCTGAGTGAACTCTGACTTGAAATTTATATCAGTCCTGTTAAAGGCAGCATACCTATTCGTCCTTTTTCCTCAAAAGCTCTGTTTAATCATTTTAGGCACCTGATGCAGTTAGTTAGTTATTGTGCGCAAGAATAATGGACATCGAACCCGTCTACAATGTTATGATACACTACTTGTATCAAAGTAGATTTGAACAGAATGATTAAAATTTAACAGAATTCAGAATAATTATTTATGTCGTAGGAGCATACTTTCCGATAGAAACCAGCAGCACTTACGCCTTTCCACGTAGTACGCTGAAATATTTCAGATTAAGTGGACCTATATCCGATAGTTGGGAATCAGATTAACATTTTAGTTATAAAATGACCCACATTGACATTCTAGAATAAGTGATGTTATTTCAAAATCTACTTCTACTATGTAGTTTTTGCAAGTGTTAAAGTAAGTTGAAAAAGCTTTAATTCAGAAAGACATGTATTCAGTAATCTAATTGGTATACCAAACATACCATAATTAGGTAATTATTTTCTCGGGTGTATTGGAACGTTTCATGGTCTTCTGGATTTTCCACACGTATCACATTTTCTGTCATCACTACGCCATCTTGGCTTATATCTAGTGTTACCTACAAATGATACATTTGTAACATAGCTTTTTCATGACTACTTACTTAATGAACGCATTCCATAATTATATTTTTGTGTTTCTGAGCAAAGCAGTAAGCAGTATAAATGTCGATAGTAATTTATAAAAGGTAGAAAATTGTAGGTTTCCAGGTATCCAGACATATTTCTTTCATATTGTAGCGTACACTGCAAAGTAATTTCTAAATTAATTGTGCAGATAAATCATCTGCGTTCGTGCAATAAACTTTACCGCATTAGCTTATAACGAAGTAAAATTAACAAATTGCATTACGCTCGATAAAACTATTTATTGGATTAGCAAAGTTTCTATTGTAAGTTTCGTGCAACCGTGTTTTGAGTTATTTTTTCAAATTATTTTGTTCACTTGTAAAAATTATATCATATGAATAGCATACATTAAACAAGCCATCCTCCAAATGATCAGTTAAGAACGAAGTACCAAGTTCGAAATCCGTGTAAAGAACATTTTTCTTCCACGTGAGAGTTTCCATATCGTATCGCAAAGGCAAACCTGAAGCTGCCTTTCGAATTATTTTCGTGACACTTGCAATTAGGATAAGTCGACGTGTAAGCCATTTGTAACCTGAAAAAGGTTTGCAGTTACTAAAGAACATGATAATAATGATTGGAATTCTCGACTGTTAAGATCTAATAAAGATTGAGCAATATGCAACATAATTTTTTCCAAGATAATTGTTCAGATTAAAAGTACAACATGCTAGTGCATGTCAGTGCATTGTTGCAAAAATGGCTATATTCCGTCAAACTAATATTTGATAGCCAAAGAACAAGTTGAGAACAGGATTCTAAAGAATGACTGAGATATTCAGATGAATATAGCACACCTCTAGCAGTAAGGTATTCATCCAGATTAGTAGACTTTTCGAGCGTATATGTTCCAAAAAATACATTGGGCAGTTTTTTGGAATCAGTGGAAAATGAATAAGGGAATGTAAGTAACAGTAACGATGGCAGCCATGAGAAGTTTGGCTTCATAGAGTGATAGCCTGCAAAAGTACATCCTATAAATAACTTTATAAGGTTATGAGAATGAGTTAAACAAAAGTATTGAAGAATTATTGCGTACAACAATTTGATTCTTGGAAATCTATTTCAAAAACTAAATTGCTAAAACAGCGGTTCTAAAATGTAAGAAGCGAGTCAAGAATCTAAAGTGTCGACAGATTTGGGGATTTTAGCTGAAAGGATATGAATAGGTAACTTATTATCCCCAATTTCAAATCTTATGAAGAATCAAATGATTTCAATGTAAAGGAAATTCTAATTAGTAGCAGCATAATCAAGCTCATTAGTGGTTAAAGGAAATTATTGAAGCTTGATTAATCAAGTTTAGGGTTATTGATAGAAATTGTCACCTGAGACTATTTGAAAGAGAATTAAGATCTGTACATACAATGTTATTTCCACATTCTTACCAACTTATCATTTTTATTATTGGAATCAAGATGTATGGCTCGGAATGGAAAAAGGATAGGATTACTAAAAAGTTTATTGGGATAAAGTATAAGTCAAAAAAGATTTTAGCTACTTTTGAAAAAGTTCTAAGCTGACACGATTACTTCTAGCTTCAAGTTACTCGACTAATTTGATTTTAGCGACGTGTAACGAACAAGTTAATAGGTCGTGAATATCACCTTGAATTACCTCTCTCAAAAATAAAAGCGATGATAAGAGTTCCGAAAAGGTTTTTGAAACTTTATCTTTTTATTTTCGCAACGATCTATACATATAATCTGGAATTTGGGAAATATAAACTGAGATGACCTGGTTTGCACAACCCTTTACCTTTTCCGTTGTTCATTTTTTTTCCGTTTTGTTGTTATGGATGAAAATGACAACCCTTGTGCATCCCGAATTTGTCAAAAATTTCATAACTATTAATTCTTGGCATTATTTGAGATGCTCTCACTTGCTCATTGTTTCTTCATTAGAAATTATAGTCTTCTTCAAATATTTCTTTTATACGTTTTTTGCATCAAATATCAATCGTAGCGAAGAAATAATGAGAAGTCCTTTTAAATGGAACTGTAATATGCTCCGTTCTGTTTTCAAGTCTTATAGAGGACTAAATTATCACCTTGCTGCAATCACATCAGTATTCATTGTTTCACTGACTGATCCAGAAAGGTTAAATTTCTTAATAGCGTCATTGATTTTACAATGTTGATTGTTACACTTCTTTATCGCGTGAATATAGCTCTAATAATTAATATGTAATAATATTGTAAATAGAGCAAAGTGATTAAAATTTGAATCTAGCAACACTTAAGGACGATTGGTAACAAAAATGAATGAATGATGAGCTAGCTTTATGTCAACATTCAATAAATTGACATTTGTAATAATTTTAGAAAGATTAAAAAAATCTTTTTTCTTTTCTTTTTAATAGTAAAGCGACCTTAGCTTCTTGGAACGTTACAGGAGATACCACAGGGAGATTAACAAAGTTAAAATGAACTGGACAAATCAGTGGATGAACAAATCACTAAACAAATGAACAACAAATAACAAATTCAGAAATGAATGAATCAAATTCAAAAATGTTTAGAAATAAGTGTAATTTAATCCTACGAAATATTTGAAATAGTGTGATCAAAGAATAATCAATCAAAAAGTGAATTGTTGCATACCAATCACCTAAATGCGCACTGACGAAAAGGAATCATTTCTCGAGGCGTGAAGTGCTGGGAGATTATAATCGAGGACAACTGCACCCCCACATGATTTGATGTAATAGAATTCAGATAACACTCATTCCAATAATATAATCGTTGAATTTTATACATAAGGAATGAACAAACAGAGATGGATCTAAAAACACTTCTTGGCTTGCTAACTTTTCATTCATTATCTCTAAACACAGCTAAATATGAATAGAGCTAGTTAGAAAATTGGCAAAGACTAAATACGGAATAAAAGCAAGTCAAGATGAATTTGCTGAATTTGATAGTGAACTAAACTAAATAAAATGCATTCGATGATTGGTTTATTGACTTAATCCAATTCGCATTGATTTAATCTAATTCATCCATATCTTTCATATTCACAAATAATGCTTAACATAAATCATTTCGCTTGCACTGCAAACACATTGTTCGGGTTAATAGTGTAACATGCAAAAGTAAAGTGTAATGAAATACTGTTTGAAATATAAAGAGATTTGTTCTTGATTTATATATACTTTGTTTTATCTGTTTAATGGAAGTAATTGTGGCTGAAGTATGGAAGGACCTGAACTGCAAGAAGAGCGGTACGTCGATATGTAATATAAAAATATGCAATAATTCGAATCAGAAAATTCTTTAAAATTTGTAACTATCTACTACACTTACATGCTACAACCTCCTACTCGAAATACCGAACTGAGATGCTCGTTGAATGCTGTTGTTCATATACGTTATCCTATGAAAACATCGAATTATGTTGCTCCGATAAGCTTTTATTCATCACTTAAACATCTAATACTAACAGCTACCACCAGATAAAAACTGATTTTATTGATGAATAACTGATGCTCATTGCAGTGACAATTCCACTTGTCTCATCACCATTGTTATCACCGTGGAGAGTATAACTCTAAAGATTAAAACGACTGCGACGCTGATCTCTTAACTTCAGCAAAATATACTTGCACTCGCAGAGTTTGCTGTTTGTCTGTTATCATTAGCTATTGAAAATGTATGAAGTAAAACAGGTATAAAACTGATTTATGCTGAGCTGTTTGATATGAAAGCAACGTTGACGAGCAAAAGGACTTTAAATAAAAGATGATGGAATGAAATAATATTAAGTTATTGCTTCTTGTAATAACGTTTTGCCGAAACTCCTTTACAGGTCATTTTCTGAAACAAATCAATAGAGTAACCGTATATGCTGTTTATATAAAATATTATATGGCCTTTTTAAAGCGAAATGAGTTAAAAGTGATTCAATCAATATTAAATTGTTAACATTCGAACCTTCATGGTAATCTTACCATGATCAAGTAATCACCATCTCGATAGTATTCATAAGTCTCGATGTCCCTCGGATTATCCACCTTGACATGTGTCTCTGTCAATACGTTGTCTAGATCTTTTAGATCGAATGTTATCTAGAAATTTTCAGAAAAAATTTTACCCAATAATATTCAGCGGTGGTTTAAAAATCATAAGCATGTAATGCAGAATAAAGCCACTTTATATAAACACAATATTTAACAATTTATTAATATAAACTGTATAAACATTCTAACAATTATAAACAATTCACGAAATTCTTCGGACGGTTATATTCAGTCAGAATTCAATCAGTTTTTGAAGTTACAACTAACCATTTTCCACTTACTAAATCATACAATTGCAGCTTTACCTTGTGTTGTAAGCTATCTACAGCTTCTGCTGTGAATTCTTCGCCTAGAGCCCACTCAGCAAATAGTGTATTTTTTCTTTTTGTCAAATTTTCCATATCATAGCGATTCGGCTTCTGGGAATTCGCCTCGCGAAAAACCTTTGTGACACTAGCCAATTTGATTACTTGCCGCATGAACCATCCGTAACCTCAAGTAAAACATGACACACTGTCAAGTTTTTTAAATTAATAAGTTGATTAATTAATTAAACAAATAAGTAAATATACGACATAATCTTTTGGAGAAAGAAATTTTTGAAAAAATTAATAAATGTGATTGTAGACCCTTTGCTTCGAGATATTGATCGAAATTTTCGTCGCGTTCAAGTACAAAAGTACCCAGAAACTTTTCTGGAAGTGCTTTGGTATCAGACGTTGCAATTTCTGCTCCAACTTTATCGAAAAGCACATTTAATACAATCATGATAACTATGAATCGTAACATCATGAGGACCTTCAAAGTCTTGGTTTTGACGAATAGAGCACTCTCATGACATTATGTTTTTCGATGCATTCAAAAATTGCTTAGCATTATTAAATATTAGTAATGCTTATGAAGTGATTAAATTTGATCAGAAACTGAATTATAAAACTGCTTTGAAACTAAACATCACATTTAGAAACTATCACTGAACATCAAGTAAAAAGTTTGGCATTAAAATATTTTAGACATCACGCTGTGATGCAAATGTTTCACCTACGTTGTACCAATTATCGCGTAAATGAGTAAAAAACAAAAAATAAATAGTGGTTTGCTGACTTCACCGGTTTCTTCTGCTTTATCAATAAATACAACGCAGACGTGGAAAACAAAATCCCTGCGTAGAAATAAGGGGACAGTGTAATGTTAACAGAGATCTAGCAAGATTTGGAGTACACAGATAAAAGTGACCAGCTGCTTGATGATGAGAGGTTAATTGACCAATACAGTGCAACAAAGCAGCAAATGCGATGGATGTAACCTTTGGTCCGATTTGCAGGACGTTAGGTCAATGTGTTGAGCTTAGGAGAGAGGATAATACACCAAACAGCATAATGTACCGAGCAAGGGAGGGAAGAGTCCCATTCATCAGTAAATTAATGATGAAACAATCAGCCAATCATGAACTATTCAATTTCTGGGACAAATGTTACTTATTTTTAGGCTTCTGAAGTTACAGTGCAGTTGTCATTATTATTATTATTACTATTATTATGAGAACAAAAAATATTTTGATTATCATTATAAACACAGAAAATAGTCTCAAATGAAAGAATTTTGAAGTAAATAACTCATTCAATCAAAAATTTTCAAAAGACATTTTCCGGTCATACAATCACAATTTTTCGGTCATTATTATCGAGGTTTAATGATCATCCGAGGAAGGTAAATAGTACAAAAAAGATCAAATGAATGTTATGAGCTGCAAAAGTGGGCGTTAGCACAAATTTTTTTTTTTGCAAAACCTTTAGCACAAATTTTAGACAGAATAAACAGAATTGTTTGATTCAAACAAAACAATTGAATAAGTGATCATCACAAAACTAAATTTAGTAGTATTACACCTATTAACCAATCACAACGACGATTGTAACAGTAGTAAAAATAGTCAAGAAAATTATGCAAGCAGTTTGAAAATATAGGTAACCCTCTAATCTTTATTATATACTTGGATACTAGAACATACATATGAATTTAGATACAAAATAATATAAATTAATTGAAAAAAAAAAGCAAATAAAAAGTGAAAATCATAAGCGAGTTGGTTGAAATTATAACAAATTCTCATACCCATAAGACTGAAAATGTAAAAAGATGTTTACAGAATATAAATAAAGAGATGGGATAAATAAATACATAACACATGAAAAACCAACAAGTTAAATTTTTTGTTGGAAAAATTTTTTTATCCATAATACAGTGAGAAAAGAGAAAATTAGGTATGTGATACTTACCTTTTATCTTCTTTGCTTCATGAATCACTATTACCTAGGAATGTGATTGTTGCAGCTTTGGAGATTATTCTCGAATAAAGTACCGCTTGCAGGATATTTTTCCATTTGCCATACTCTAGAGAAGAAGAAATATAAAACCGGAATACAAATGATACTTAATATAAAAAGCTTATTTTTTCTGTTGGCAGCATGACAATTTCAAGAAAAACGCATTCCGTAAGTATATGATAGCCGGTAAAATATTTCAAAATCAAAATAATTTAAAATATTTTTCAAACACTCTTCACAACTTATAAAATCAATATTAGGCAGAGCTAAAATGTCAACCCACATTTTCAGAAACGAGAGATTACATAATTTGAAGCCGTAATTCTTACTTCATAATTCAATAATTTCAACGCAAATTAATTTTATTTGCAGCGCCACTGCCATTATTAAAGAAGATCACATATATGTGAAAGAAAAGTGGTAATGCAGAAATGAAGAAACAAAAAATTCAGTAAATTAGGTAAACAGCACTCACCAACGCTAAAGTATCGCCGTCAACAGTGTAAGTGTAAGTTTCCCCATGATCATTTGGATCATCTATTCGGATATGCGTCTCTTTTAAACTTTCTGTTGCTGGGTCGAAATCAAACTTGATCTAGAATTATGAATCAAGAATTTACTTAGTAGCAATTACAATTCTAGCTGAAGAAAGCCTAGAGATATAGAGAACAGAGTGCTTATTTTAGCTCCTACCCAGCTGTTATAAATTTACAACTATCTCTGTACCTTCATGGTTCACTCATTCATTCTCCAGCGTAAATCTCCAACAAATAAAAATAATGTTATGCAGTGAGTTAAGCAGTAAACATGTAAGCTAATCACTACCATTTTAAAACAAACGACTTTTAATCTGTTACAATAATTTGAAGAATCTGACACACTTTGTGCATTTTACCATCAAGACCCTCAGCCTGAAACTCTTCTTCTAGTTTCCAGTTCTTGTAAATCGCGTCTTTCTTCGATGAAAGATTGCATAAATTGTAGGCACCTTTGGTCTCATCGGAATGGCTGAACACTTTAGTAACAGATGCAAACGAAATCATTTTCCTCAAAAGCCAATTTATACCTGGAAAATCTATTTCAGTGTAATTAAATAAAGTTGCATACAAACACTATGCCAAAAGAGATACAATGTTCCAAAATCATAAGAAGAAAAAAATTCGGTGGATCTATTTATTTAATAGGCTTAAATAATTTTTTCTCAACTCAATCTGAAATCTCAAAGAAACCTCTTGGCAGGATAAGAAAAAAATTACGTCAAACCATGCCTTTTGAGGCTAGAAATTCCTCAAAATTTTCACTGCGACTGAGCTTAAAACTTCCTATAAATTTTTCAGGCAATTCCTTCACTTCATTCGCCATTGTTGCTCCAAAATTAAGTAGTGAATCCTGCAAATGAATAAATAAAACACAGAATATGTAGTAAAATCATTTAAAACTTCACAGTGTATCGTTCTAACAGCAGTTTTGTTGATCGAAGAAGGAGAAATTTCATTCTATAACTACGGCACTTCTTGTTTTAAAGTGAATCTTTTTATATAATTCTTATCAATTCCGTGATCTCTCCGCAACAGTACAGAATCAGCCGGAACAGGGCGTTCCAACCAAACGCACTTCACATCCCAAACAATCTCTAAACTCCCTAAAGAAATATTTTGATTTAGCAAAACGAAAAAACCATAAAACAGAAGTCAACGGAAGAATCAGCGTAGTTCAGGTTATGCCGGAAATACCTTGGAAGGCTGCGTTAAATATAGGTGTTGGAGAACAGTTCGTTGCGTTTAGGACTGTCGTGACAGCAGCGCTATGAGTTGTTTCCTCCTGGTAGAGCTGACCGGATTATTTTAAGGATCGTCACTTGTTTCGGAATGTTTCTTATAAGTGAAAAGTCTACATGGCTTATCGGCTGTTTGTGATGGTAGACGAAGAATTGTATGGCATATCGGCTAAAAATTTTCAAGATGTAGTCAATGATAACACTGTTTTTTGATAAGTGCGTAACTGCAAAGGCAGACAATTTTGTTCTGAATGACTGAAGAATTGTCACGATGAGCTCAGCCTGAATGAAAAAGAAAGACTGCCAAGAAAAGTGTTTTAGTTCGTTTATTCTGTTGGCATACATTCGTCACGTACAGTTGACGCTGTAAAATAATACGCATTTATGTGTTTATAAGTTAATGCGTTTTGTTTGATTGTTTGCAGGGGGACGTTTCCAATATGTGTTTGAAGAGGGATCAATACTTTATTATGCAAGATGGAGTGTACATGTGTCTTTTTTTTTGCAGGTGTTTTTATATGTTTGAAGGGTTACGTGGAGACGCTTTAGAAAACCCGGTGATGGAAAGAGAAAATTTAATTAGAGCGCTCCAAGCTACCACTTCTTCAACGAATCAGAAGGAAGCAGCTGCATATCTCGAACAGGTATAATCGAGTAATACTCTTTATCTTTCATTGTTATGTCAAACTTATTCAAAATGGAAGTTGAGTCTTGTAAGCTTGAGCATTCCGTTCTATATTAGACTATTACAAAAAGAGAAATTTATTAATCGTATCAGTGTTAATTATGGGGTTGCACAGTACTGCATAAGTTAGCAGTAAACTTTAAGTATTTTGCCAAGTTATTTCTCTACGGTTGCCTAGGACTTAAATGATTTAAATGAAATATAACTCAGAAGAAAAAAATCAGTCATCTGAATTTGCAGTACTATGTCATCTTTTCAGAACATGAGATTAGTAGGCTTTACTCCTCTTTTACTTCATATCATTATGGATGAGGAAGTGGATTGTTCTGCTCGACAAGCGGCTGTCATTTACTTGAAGAATGTTATTAACAGGTATTTAAATTGTTTGTAGAGAAATAAATTAAGTTGTGGACGTTGATTAAATTGGTAACAACATAACAAAACTAGCTGATTATTCACATAGTTTTCTGAATCTTCATGATGATAATCTCGTCGTGGTACTTTGTTCTGCAGGTACTATATTAGTAGCAGCTGTGCATTTGAGTAGGTGATTGAACACCTTTTTATTAGAATGGAGATTCTTAAAAATTTGTTCTGCTTTGGAGAGAAATGTTAGCATCAACTTCTAGTTAAAATTCAGCAAAAAAACTAATCATCGCTAGTCGTTTAAACGTAATTTTAAACATTTCAGACACTGGGTCATGGATGAAGATGATAAACAATCATTTACTCTTTCCGAACAAGATAAACACCTTATTCGTGAGCTTATCATAGATGCCATTGTAGCTTCACCTGAAGCAGTTAGGTATCTGTTTATAAATATGTAGAGAGTCTTTGTCAGTTTAATATATTTTTGCAAGATTTAAACTTCGCATATTTAGAGTCCAATTATGCACTACAGTTGGAATAATCACGAGGCACGATTTTCCAAAAAATTGGCCTTACTTACCACAAAAAGTTGCAGTTTTATTACATTCAGTGGATGGACCATCTTGGCTAGGAGCTCTTTTGGTTATACGACGTTTAGTTAAACTCTATGAGTAAGTTTCGTTTATAGACAATTACTTGGAAGTAACTTGATGAAAATTTTGATATCTTAATCAGCCAAAATGCGTGCAAACTTTGATATGAAATCAAGTAGTACGATGGAAACTTTTAGATATCGCCGGGTGAAAGAGAAAAAACCGTTAGTAGAAACAATGGGCCTTCTGATGCCAATGCTTCTAGAACGTCTCATTACTTTGATGCCAGATGCTTCTCAAGAATCTTGTTTGCTTCAAAAGCTTATTCTAAAGATATTTTATGGGCTTGTTCAGGTACTTAATTGGAATTTGAAGGACATCATTTTAATGTTATATTTTTAAGCTCGTCTACTCCATGCATTGTAGTTTTCCTTGAATCTGGAAATGTTCACGGGTCAATCCTTGGCGCAGTGGTTGGAGCAATTTCGATTGATTATCGGAAGAGCAGTACCAGAAGAAGTGAACACAGTTGATGAAGATGATCGTGAAAGAACAGTGTGGTGGAAATGTAAGAAGTGGGCCTCTGCAATTGTTGAGCGTATTTTTGAAAGGTTATTTTTTCAGCTTTTCCTATTTCTAATTTTCTAATAGATCCATGAAATAAACTCAGCATTCTTCAAGACATCGCTGTGCTAATTATCGCTTGACAGTAGAAATGAGGCTGAATATCTCCATAGATTATTAAATATATGTCAAATTAAAGCAGAGTTCGGGTTTTTTGTTTGTGCTTTGGATGTAACTATCCAAATTTCTGCATCAGCCTTTTGTTCGGCATCAGTCTTATTTTATAGTTGATGCTAAACGCGGATTTAAATCCAAAGAAAAATATATCAAAAATGTGTAAATGTGCAGATACTTTTCAGATAACACAGTTAATATACATACTCGCTTTTAGATATGGGTCCCCAGGACAAGTGCAACTGAATTACTCGGAATTTGCGGAAAATTATATGGCGCACTTTGCAATTCCAATCTTGAACACATGTCTACAGGTTCTAGATGGTTATCGGAATGGGAATTATGTATCATCTCGAGTGCTACATTCTCTGTTGCAATACATCGATATAGCCATTTCACAATCACGGACTTGGAAAATCATTAAGCCTCACTGTCAGGTATTTGTTACCTTTGTGGAATCTTCAAGGTGATTCGTGCACTGTGTGCATGACCGTTTTCACTGTATTCTTCGTTGTACGCATACGAAAAAAGGTTTCAAATTTTCAAGGAAAGTACTTTTGGTTCTAAATTTTTCAGCATTTTTAGGGAATTGTGCGAAGCGTGCTATTTCCATTATTGAAATATTCTGATGAAGATGAAGAGTTGTGGAACGACTCACCAGAAGAATTTGTTCGCATCAAATATGGTGCATTTTTATACAGTTATTTAGCAAAAATGTTATAGTACAAAAGTTGTGCCATAATCAGATGTGGTAGCGTAAGTGTTTTATGAAGGACCTTTAATATTTAAGTAAGAACTAAAATACTGAAATCAGTGAAATGCGAATAGTCACAGTTTGCTTGCTAAATAATTTATAACAAAGTTATTAAAAAAAGTATTGTGCTGCAGATGTATACGATGAATTGCACAATCCGGCAGTTGCAGCAGCAAACGTGCTAACTGGTTTTGCGAAAAGAAAAGATATGCTACAACCCATATTGGAATTTTCGTTAAACTTGCTTAATGGTTCGAATGTAAATCCACGTGATCAAGAAGGCGCTCTACGCATTCTGGGAGAACTTTTTGCTGCTTTAACGAAAAGCAAGGTTTCGTCATATTTGCTTGTTTATTGGTTTTATTTCACTTCGGTAATGGAATTTTTTAGAAGACTATCACTTAATACTTCCCTCATATCGATGCATCACATACTTTTATTTCTTTTTTTCCTTTGTTTTTTCTTGTTTTTCATTTTTTTTTTTTTTAGTAGAGAACTATTTTTCAGAAATACAGATGTGCTGTTGATGAATTAGTAGAGAGATTTATAATCTCAAAAATTGCTCATCCAATACGATTCATACGCTGCAGAGCATGCTGGACTATAAGGGTATGCTATTATGTTTACTCTTTCCACTCTTTTATTGATTGAAAGTTCAACCTGTTTTTTGCATTGGTTTTGCATCACAAAGATTACAGCAGTTTGCTAGTGGTAAATTATCTGGTAGCCGAATAACACATATTTATGAAGAACTGGTAAAAAGGTTAGCTGACGTTGGTGAAGAATTACCCGTGAAAGTGGAAGCTGCGATGGCTATACAGCACATGTTGGAAGCGCAGACAAAATGTTAGTCTCATAATTTTTATAATATAGTAGCAAAAATGGAATTTTTTCCTTTTTGAAGTTTTTAATTGAACAAGTTTTACGTATTTTTTCTTCGCAGTTTAAACAAAACTAGCACATATGAAATCAAAAACTTTAGATCGTTCGGTACTGAAGCCTCATGTTCATTCAGTCATTATCGAAGTATTGCGACTTGTTGCTCGAGCTGAAATAGAAGAAATGACGAACGTTATGGAAGTACTGCTGGAAGATTTCGTTGAAGATATTATTCCTATCGCCGTTAATGTTGCAACTGAATTGGCAAGTTGTTGACAATGACATCAAATAGACCTAATTTCATTTTGTACATTTGTGAGAGAAGTGTATATGTAATCATATCGCTTGGATATAAGTGAAAGTATTGTTTAATACAGTAAGTTTGACGATGTAGAGCTAATTACCTATGATCTAAATTTAAGCTCTTTTGAATTTCAAGGAATCTGGACAAAATATTCTTTGTGAAGACTATTCATGATGTTGATCTTTTACGAAGAATAAGCAAAAATGATGTTCTGAATAATAATTCTTATTTAGGCAAACATTTTCTTGCAAATTTCCTTATCGGAGAATCAAGAAGATGACCGCACAGTGACTGTGATGGGTATCTTGACTACCTTGGGCTCAGTGCTAGATATGGTAGAAGACAATCAAGATGTACTTTATCATATCGAAGAACAAGTGCGCAGAGTGATTAAGTCTGTTCTGGACCGCGGACAGATCGGTTACTTTTTTTACTGTATATACGATTCTCTTTTACTTTCTTTCTCTTCTAAAACTACAACCGACAAATAGGATTTGGTAGCATCTTATGAAGTTTTTGTATTATCAAATTACAAGGTTCGTATGTTATCAAAATCTTTAAATATGGTTGCTACTTCGTTGAAGATTACTACGAAGAAGTTTTGGCATTAGCAAATTCGGTGATTACATACTCTATAAGTGAACCAATGTGGGAAATATTCTTCGATATTCATAAACTAGCAATCAGTCAGGACGGGATAGTTTTTGTTGGTAAGTATTAATCATTATTCTTAATCATCGTTTCATCCATGCTCAGTAGAATTACAAAATAATCTTTAGTTTTCTACAGGCCTTGCTTTTTAATTTTTTGATTTTCCGATCCTATTAGAAAGCTCTCAAGATTGGTCTACTGTCGTTTAAGTAATAATGATTTGACAATGAAGAGGAGTGAAATTGAGATTGCCTGTGTTTCTGTACCAATCTGTGATATGGAAGTATTTTTTATGTGTAGATGTGATGCCCGTACTGCACTCATATTTGACGGTGGATACCGATGGCTTTTTAGCCCGTCCAGAGCGTCTTAGAGCTTTCGTAGAAATTGCCGTAAATATGTTTAATGAAGATACGGAGGAAAATGACCAGGTACATGCAGCTAAACTACTCGAGTGCCTTATTTTGGAATGTCAGGTATGTTTTAATTTGCTGTTGATAATGGGTAGGATAAACAAAGTTGAAAGTTCAAATCTTTTTGTCTTAAATTTCGAATTTTTAAATATAACGAAAACATTTTTAGGGTAAAATCAACAATTTAGTACCAGATCTCATTCAGCTGATCCTTACTCGGCTCCATCAGCCAATTGAAGACTGCAAAACTTTAAAACCTGCACTTCTTTTGGTTAGTCACGTCTTTATCATAGATAAGTTGTATGTATTGTGTAAAAGTGATATGAAGGAGTAAGAAAGTCTTTCAGGTAGTGATAGCTGGTTTGTATTATGATACAGATATGTTTGTGAACCTGTTACCTCAATTGCAACCTCACGGAACTAATACATTAAATTACTTGGTCAACGAGCTTTTATCATTAGCACATTGTCTGGAAGGTGTTCATGACCGTAAAATGGCTATAATAGGTTTATGCACCATGGCAAGGCTATCTGCTATCCATAGACCTACTCTGATTGACGAGAAAGCGCAGCAGGTAATCCGTTTTTTCGTTTTTCATATTTAAAATACCGTTATTGTGAGCTGGAAAAGGAACTTAAATATTAGTATTTCTACGAATAAAGTCGTATTTGTCTTAGTTGCCATATAAAATTTGAAAAATTCAGTTTATAGATCAATGAATTACTTGTTACGCTTTTGATTGGTCTTCAGAAAGCGATGAAAATCAAAGCGGAAAATCGTTTAGCCAACGAAAAGGAATCTGATATTAAAGAAACTGAGGTATTCATTATAGTAATTCATGGACAGTGAATCGACTTAATTCATAAATTTATAAAGTTGTCACCTGAGACTATTTGAAAGGGAATTAATAACTTTGTGATTAAATGATTAATTCTGAGAACACATCGGATGATGTTGTTCAGGATGTTATGATATTTGCAGGAGGAAGTTGGACGGGATGAAGACTTGGCAGATAGCGAAGATGAAATAGATGAAGATATTCTCGAATATCTAGAAACCTTGGCGGAACATCAGAATAAGAAAGAAAGGGTATGTTGAACTTTCTAGTAACAGTAAGTGGAGCCAGAAATTTCTTCATAATATTTAGTTTTTTCTAATTTGTGAGATTTGTTTGATTCAGCAATTATATTTAGATTGGAGGTGACGCACAAACATTTGAGTCAGATTCTACATCAACGTCAGATAGCTGGGACGAAGACTCCATGGAAGCATATTTTACTCCCATCGATAACGATGAAACTGCGGACGTTTTTATTTTTTATAAAGAAACACTTGATGGTTTGTTTAGTTCTCCATTCTATAAAGTGGCACTTTTGAATATGTTGGCCTTAGGAGCAGTTCACAATATTGAAGTAGCATACGTGTTTACATTAGTTGTATCTTGTATTACTTTAATGTTATAATACTTACATAACAGTTTGTTTCATGTTGGAGATAATTTCATCTTCATAGATAGGTATTGGACTTTTTTGATGGCTGCCCATCAAAGTTTCTATTTTAAGAGGTGGAACTGTATCAGCTGAAATAGTCATTTCCAGTAATTATTGAAGTATAATCCCAGATTTTAGCACTGAGAACAAGTAATGAGAAGCTACTACTCTCTATGACAACGTGTACCAATTCGGAAAAACAAGTAGTACTGGATGGAGTACTGCGGGTGTGTGAACAGCGAATGTCGTTGGCGAAAAGTAAGAAAGTAGAGCAGCAGGGAGGATACGCCTTTAAAGTGGATGCACCAGTACCGGATACTTTCAATTTTGCTGCAAAAAACAGTAATCCTTAGCAGGAAAAAGCACTCCTTTCTTTGTTTCGGCTTATGAATGACTTTTCCTAGCATAATTTAAAAGCAAAATAAGTGAAAGCAATGTTGGTGGGTTTGGAATTAATATAGTCATTTGTTTAAATCTATTATGAGAATCAGGAAATTTGATTCATATATTATATATATATAATTCGCATAATTATTTGATTCATTTTATCCTTTCACAAGGACATACACACAATGGAACTTCTTGCTACTCGGATCGTTTGAGATAGTCTTGGTGCGACAATATAGGTGGACATAACACTTGTCTTGATATCATCGCATTTTCGTCTAGAAATATTTCCTGACTTCAGTTAACAGTTGAGCGGGGAAATGAATTCTTATATCAAGTGAGACTTCGCTGCTAGAGTATTATTGTCACCGAATTATCTGACACCATTAGTTTTCGGTGGACTAATTATGTTAAAACAGGAATGTGGAACAGCTTTCAAAGACATGGCTTGCGTTACTTTGCTGGAAATAGGTTTCATTTGTAATTGTAATGTTTAATCAGTTCATAGCTCAATGATTCAATGAAGTTATCATACGAGTACTTCCCACTTTTGTGAACAATGCTTTCTTGTCTTTGATAAAATCTTCCGCATGCCGCAAGCAGAGAGTGGAGTGGCATCAAAAAGACGGAAGTGATTCGTGTTGGCCAGATATAGAGCAGCGGTTGACTCGGCAATGAAACCCATCTGAATCGCTCAAACGGCTATATTGTTGATCCAATAGTTTATTTAGCAACACTTTTCAATAATATAATAAAGCCATAAAGCTGGACTTAAAAATGCAAATTATCAAATAAACGTAGAATATTTCGAGTGTATTTCTCTAAACATCGAATAATCACGCAAATGGGATGGTGCATATATCCTAAAGGCCAAATGATGAGTGACGAGACGTAACACTGAATTCTATTTGCATACAATTCAATCTTGCAGAACCAAAACTTATACGACTAGGTACAATTCACTGGCTGTCAGATAGGAAATGTGCAGCTTTCCAAGCGCTAATTGACGACTTTCATCTCTTCTTGTTTGACATTGTGCGTCTCTGGTTTTCTCAGCGGTTCATTCAATAAACTATTACGTTCTGTTTCATGTTCCAAGTTTTCTTGCTAGAAATAAACCGAGTGCTTAGTTGACGGAGTTACATTGTCGTAAATAAAGGAAATTATGAAAAAAACGTACGGAAATATATTCGCTAGAACATTTTAGTAGGTGGCACCAGCGATTTCGTCAGACCGGAACGTATTAATATTAAGGCTCCAAATAACTACTTTTTATGAGAAATTTAAATTACATGGACAATTAGTATTTATAACTTCAGCAAACATAGCCTTTCAGATTTTCACCCCAAAATTTCGGAATAGAATGCCATAATGAAGCATAGGACAATATAACGAAACCAAAATTATTTGTTTATCTTGCCGAGGAAATTTAAAAATACCAAAAAATCAAAAATAAAAGAAATTTGGAGAGGTAAGAATACACAACCCTTCAATCGGAACTCAGCTTACATTAATGGAGAATGACATCAAAATAAAGAACAAACTATTCACCTTAATCTCAGGCAGCTCGTCCTTAGCATCACGCGATGAAGATAAATTGATTGGAGCACAATCGCCAATTGCTAGTTCTTTTGCAACTATTTCTGGGGATTTGTTTTCCTGAAAATCACCAGTGTCCATAAAGTAATATCTCTAAATATATAGCTAGAAAATCAGAAGTATCGCTGAACCATAAAATGTATGCCAATGACCAGGCCATAAGTTAGCTATGATGGCACAATGCGACGAAACATTTTCCTCCTAAAGAAAAACTGTTAATCTTAGTATATTCACTGCTAATAAAGTCTTTAAAAAATTAAAGCGCACTAATTCTCGTTAATTATTTTCTTAATAAAATGGCACCACTGCTTACAATTTGAATGCTTCCTAGGCAGATAGATTTTAAAAGCCTATGAACTAGAGAAGTAGCACATGAATGTATTTTTTTGCATAGTCTGTATGAAATTAAAAAAACACACGGTTCATATAAACAAATCGAGTTATACTTAAAATTTCAAAGCTGTAGCATATAACCGCTATATTATAAAGTTCCATTTTATAGTAAGCAAGGCTAAAAAGGCAATTAGCACACCGCTAAATGAAAAAGAGGAACTTGTAAATTAGTCAAGTACTCTGCTAACATGGTCTCCAGCTGCAATCACTTTCGTTTCTACTGGAGCATCACATTCATCCACCTGTAATAAACAATCGTGATTTTAAATGGATTATGCAGTTGGAAAGGAAAAAGATTAACACAGCTTTAAATTTTTTGCTGACAACAAACGAAACATGTATCCCACACTGATCAAACAATAAAGTGGCTGATTGCATTCAGGAAATACAGAGCCAGTAATTGATAATTGCATAAATAAATGGAGATACATCAAAGCGTCTAATAGACTGTAATATCATATACCTGGACGAAAAATGGCTCCTCAATGCGAGCCGTAGAATTAATATCTAGTTCTCCTGGAAATGGCTCTACGCCTGTTATACGTTCTCCACTCTCTGTAATTGTCGTCACCACGTTGATATTCTTTTCCAAAGCCCGAAGATATTTGTCTGTTCGTTTGTAGTGTCGAGAAGGACTAATCAGAAGCTCACATAGCCTTAAAGTACTTTTTTGCCACCAAAATTTACAGATTTACAAAATTTACAGATAGATCTCATTTACAGATACTTCCTTCTAATTATAATAAAGAGTTGTTTTATAATAAAAGTGTAAGATAAAAAAATAAAGCACACGGAGAAGATATAAAAAACAAAAACAACCTCTGGAAAGTAAAAGGTGTTCCATCAAATTCCGCAGCTTTTCGCAAAATGAATTGACGTTGTTGATACAAATCATCATCTGATACGAGCGTTTTTTTTTCATTTTCCGTAACTGCATTTTCTGTCTCGATACACAGCATTTCTGACATCGTTTGCTTAAAATAAAAAATAATAGCAGTGAGTAATAACGTAATATCTAGTAAGAAAGTAGTAATAGAATTATGACTTTCTTAACGATAAACGTCTTTTGAAATGTACAAAAGTAAATATAAAACGATGGGTTAGGTAGCAAGTATGGCCAAAAAAGTGCGGATATTTTGCATAGACAAAGAAGCTGCTCACTCATTATTATGTATATTAATACTAATATAATAGATTGACTAGAAATCAGCATACTGAGTAATACATTTTTTATTTTCATATATATATATATATAACATATAATTGAATTGTCAGAGACTGCAAATGAGTTGAATGTATAGAAAAAAGTGCCTCAAGTTTCCAAAGGAAAGCACATCGAATTATATCCCACTTAAAAAGTGGTCGACCGAGTTTAGCAACAAGCTCGAAATATTCATCAATTTCCTGTACTGGAGACTTCGAAAACCCTTTTGAAGTCCTTTCTAGAACATTCTGTAACACGAATAACATTAGAAATTCAGTGAGTAGCTTTTAAAAAGAATAGTTATATGAGCAACACAGATCGCCAACGGAAGGTAACCGGCAATTTCTGTTTTATTCGCCACTCTTAAATAATTAGATCAACGTAAGGAGAGGTACACGAAGATATGTTTGTCAAATTTTTACTTTTACTATATACCTGATGCTTTCCTTCTCTTAGCAAACAACAACACACCCATAACGAACCTGATCAGGTACAGTAAAGGAAGAAAGGGCATCAGAAAGCCTTTGTAGGATGTGTGTGGCTGGAACATCTGCTGAATACGGCCCCTTCGTCGCTCCTTCCTCCTGCACCATCTAAAACTGAAACGTTTATTTGCTGGAACAGCATACGCAAAACAATAATTTTGTAATATTATTGAAACCATGCCAATGTTGAGTTACTCAACCTACGACACTTTGAGGTTGCCGTCATGAAATTTAGAGTCGCAGGGAGAAGTGGACAATTTTGTTGTGGAATTAAACTTCTCACATGCGATGCTGCTATTTATTGGGTATCATGTTACTAGCACTGTCCTGAAGTGGTTCATGTTATTTTCTTATTAGCTAAAATTTTACCAAATAATTATGCGGAGGGGACAGCTGAAGTCTACAGATTTACAGAACGGAAATGAAGTTTACAGATCCTTCTGTAAACTTCATTTAAATAACAACATTAGAGATTCACTGGGCAGCTTTTAAAAAGAATAGTTATATTTAAACGAGGGATTGGTAAATTTGGGGATCCTACAGTAGCTGGGCCTAAATAGCAATAGAAAGAATGAAAGTTTCTCTTGTTTCTAAGTGAACATACAGGAAAAGGAAAAAAAAAAAAACAATTTTAAGCTGACTCAATTCACGAGTGTTCACTTTCGTGTCCCACATTAACATGACTTTAGTTAGCAGTTTTTAAGAACTTTATTCAAATGTTTTGCATGATTTACCTCACTAGTTGACTCAGTCTGCATAACCGCTTGAACGGCACACTAAAAACTTTTAAAGCAACTAATTCTTGTGTAGAAAATAACGATATTAACATCAAGAGAAAAAAATTTATCCACATAACAACAAAATTAGTGATTACAAAAAAATGAAATGGTAGTCAAAGTATCAGGACACTCCCAGTATTGATCGCAATCTTTTACAGAACATTATTTTATTGCATCCTCAGGCAATTTCTAAGTCCAAAATCTTTCACGAATAGACAACTAAGTGTTGTGATGTACATTCTGAACAGGTAACGATGCAGACTGCAACGTTTTTCTTGATATCCTATGGTACCCAGTGTATGGATCTCGTCCCAAATACTGGATAATTATTTTCTGACCAACCTTGAAACCAAGCACCTTGGCATGAGCTACGTTCCTCACATCCAAATTGCTGTAAGAAAGCAAAATTTCAATCAAATTTGATATCCTTAAAGACTTGACCTGCCTTCAGGAATCACATTTCTCAATTATAAGGAAATACAAAAAAAAAGCAAGGTGCCGAAAGATTAAAATATACCTTTGTAAGGATTCGGAAGATAATTTCAAAATAACTTCGTTCATTAACAAACCTGTTTTTCAGTAAGATCGGTTTCATACCCTTGTGAAGTGTTACCAGCACGCCATGATCCAATAAATCTGTGATTTCCGCCTTGTACATTGCACCGAACACTAGGTCTATTTCGTTTTCGTTCTCGAACATTCTAAAAAAAAAAAAAAAAAGTATATACAAATTTCAGTAAGATCGGTTTCATACCCTTGTGAAGCATTACCAGCACGCCATGATCCAATATGAACAGACTGATCAAATAAATCTGGCTAACAGCTTTAGTATATATCAAGAAAGTTGCAAACATAAATTTAGATTTTAGTCCCAACTTACTTGTTTAGCATCACTTTCGCTTCTTCTAGCTTCACTTTGTTAGGAGCAAAGATAGATATGTTTGTATCATCCTCTATGCTTATCTACAAACATTTTAAATTAATGATGTTCCGACGGTTATATCAAACTAATGGATTACAGTAGAATTAATTTTGCTTTAATTAAGAGAATATAAAATATTTATTATTTTTGATTATATAAAATATTTATTTCTTTTGATCATATTGAAATGAAAATATAGTAGGAAAGTAGTCCTAGCTGTCGTAAAACAGAGTAACCTTAGCACCGGTTTCTGATTCGATTAGCTTAGCATTATAGCCTCCACTACGAAATATGATGTGGCGTTTGTAGATTTCAACAGGTATTGTCTCATGAACCGGGACCGTAGTTTTAAATTGGTCGCGGGATACAGGTTGCGCCTTTTTCATTAGCTGCAGAAGGTGTTCTAATCCATTCCTCGCCTGTTTTAAAGACTCCGTAACTAATTTTGGCGTTATGCCTGGCACTTTCAAATCTAACTGCATCGCCGTATAACCGCGCACTGTTCCTTAAAACAAAGAAAATGTGGCAATAAATTTTAGATTAATGTTTAAACTCATTTGACGACAACCAAACTTCTAAAGATATTCCCATTTCTTATTTAGTGAATCAAAAAATTAGTTCTACATAAGAAGGAAAGTACACAAAGAGTGAAAATCTACCCGCTATTTTGAAATCCATATCTCCAGCAAAATCTTCCAAACCATTAATGTCTGTCAGGATACGATAATCATTTCGTTCTTCATTAATAATCAAACCCATTGCTATACCGGCAGCCGGTGCCTTTATTTGTACTCCTGCATCAAGAAGAGCCAAACAACCAGCACAAACTGATGCCATCGAAGATGAACCATTTGATTCTAGGACCTGAAATGTAATTATTATTCTACTTGTATCATAAACGCAGCATAAATAAAAATAACTACTAACCGAAGTTAATGATCAACTCTGGGTGAGAACTCACTGAACATCAACACTACTTTCTAGCATTTCATTTAATAACATCCGTTAATATTATCCAATCAAGAAATGGAAACCTATTTAAAAAAAAAAAAAAAAAAAAAGACTATTATTAAATTTCCAGGTATAAACGCTTAAATCGCATTTCAAAAATTCCAAGAAAAAAATCCCGCACGAACATCACAGGCAAGCCTCAAGCAGTAGGGAAAGTCATCTGGAATAAGCCTCTTTAGAGCTTTCTCAGCGAGAGCACCATGTCCTAGCTCTCTGCGTGAGGTTCGTGCAGAAGAAGAAATAGCAGTAGTGGCAAATGACGGGAACTGATAATGCAACATGAACATTTTTTTTTGTTGGGCACCAAGTAGTTGTGACAGTGCATCTGGCTGAAATGCGGCCGATGGAGCATCAAACGTCACTGTACTAAACACCTAAAATTTATACATATACTAATCGTATTAACATCATAAAAATATACTTGATATAGCATTTGAATATGCTGAAAGACTATAGATAACTTCTACATCCAGCACTCCTGGTCTTCTTTCACGTCTGATTTCAAACCAACATTTACAAACAGAAAATAAACCTGGGTCTGACCGCGCTGAAACAATGCTGATCCATGCAAATTTTTATGAACATCCATTCTAATATTAACCGGACGAAGTTCATTGAATTTCCGTCCATCGCATCGCTTTTCACTTTTGAACAACGCTTCCCTACAGAATTATTTTAGAACGATGCATGTAAAAATTTTTTTAACAAGAAGAATACTTTGAAGTATATTACGCTTTCTCAGGATTTTCCCTACGTCAAAATCCTACATTTCTTAATACTTCTCTTAAGAAATTTTAGCATAAAATGAAAACATTTTTTTCAAATAAAAATCCTTATCAGTGATGTTTGGTAGTGATTTAAAGTTTCTTTGATCTAATTTTTGTTCAACATTGCGGATTATAATTTTCCAAAGCAAACGCGCTTCCTTAGCTACAGCTTAAACAAAATGAACTGACATTGTTCAAGTTTATACAATTATAAGCCGATTCACAATATAAATAAATAAAAATAAAAATGCTTTCACAGAATTACAAATCAACCCAAAATATAAATAAAATAAACACAAGTTCATTTTTTTGATAAAATTGAAATAGGTACCTCAATGATCTTTTGAGAAGATTTCTGAAAGTATGACGAAGCTTATGCGGAGAACTCCTTTCTTTGAATTTTTCAAGAAGACGATCACCAAGTTCAGAAACAGCCTGATCTCGTGATAGCTTATCATGTTTAGCATTCGTTAAAATCTGATATAATTGGTCGCCACATAAGACATGCATTTCTTCTGTTAACGCTATCAAATCAATATCAATTTCTTCATTACCATTCTAAAACAAAAGTCTTCAAGCTACTGAAACGAGATATGAAGAAGGAAAACAAATGTCTCATACCTGGTTATGGTAAGCTTCATTTTGATAATCTCCTTTACATACTTATTGAAGAACATCGACATGTTATTTGGTACCTAAGCTTGCATTTATTATCATTGTTCACTGTATTTAATAGTCATCTAATAAACTTGCATGCTATTATTAGTTAGCATTCATTTGTATAATAGCACTCAATGACTACAACGTAGTTCTCACAAATCTGTGGGAGCGATAACAAAATTATATTAATAAGTGTGATCCTTAACGAAGACCATGAATAGTCCAAGTGTTTAACTAGTCGAGTACTGAACATTCTAGAAGTAATAAAAATGAATGCAAGCTTATATTAAGGAAATGAATATTAAAGAAAAAGCAAAAAAGGATAAGAGACGATGGATGACAGATATAATGTGAATATGCAAGATTTATTTTCAGTTCACTGACTCCAATATATAGGAGCAGGATCATCATCAAAGTTATGATGGATAGTAAGATAAAAGTTAGTATACTTCAATCAGCAAATTAAATTAGCTAACACGACGAAAGATGAAGAAAATCAGTTGTTATGCAAAGACATCTTTAACAAAATGGGTTACCTGCCGTTTTGGACGACCGCACGAATCCTTCACTTTATTAATGGCTTGAATTAAGTGAGAAATAGCTTGAAGACCAATTCTAATACACTCGGAAAAATTTTCCATCTCAATTTCACAACCATCCATATCGATCATCAGTATTCGTTTCCCATTGTCACAACCAGCAATAACTAGATCCACTGAAGAACTTTTCATGTTTTTCCGACTTGGATTGACGACAACCTGGAATTGTTTGAATGATTTCTTAATCAAAATCACTACAATTCTAGAATAACTGTAAAATATACTGAAAAATGGTTTCAGCGGAAGGAACTCTTAGATACCTCATTATTAATAAGAGCTACTCTGACAGCTCCAAGTGGTCCTTCCCACGGTATATCCGATAGAGTTAGAGCTGCCGAGGCTGCATTAAGCCCTAACATTACTGGATCTCCATCATCGTCTACCGCAAGAGGTTTACATATTATCTGAAATACGTAAAAATTTATTCTTTCATGAACTGATATATTTTTCACATGTGCAATTCTAAAAAAATAATAGTAGCAGGAATTAGAAAATTAAATTGAATTTTCCAAAATGCTAAGATATATACATATTAATTCCAGCACAACAAAGAATGCATCGTTTAGTCATCATGAATATAATAGTGCCATAAGTGCTTATCTAAGAAGACAAAAGGTTAAATAGAAGTTTAGAAGATAGAAAAAATTTCCAACCTGAGTTTCACCCGAATAGTCTTTCGGAAACAATGGCCTGATTGATCGATCAATCATTCTGGATGCCAGAATGTCAGCATCATTTCGTTGCAACTCTCTTCGCAAATAATTCATAGGAATACGACCAACAGCAGATGCGCTCTGTTGAAAATCGACAGTCAGGGGCATAAAATCTGCCGTATCACTAGCTGAGCTATGTCTTCCGACCACGGTAGCCAGTACCTGAGCGATCCTTGTAAATTCATTTTATCCCAGTTATACTTGACATCACAATTTGCAATGAGGACAAGATAAAGGATAAATGTCTAATCCGTTTGATAACAATTCCAAATGCTATAGACGGTGAAATATATCTAATGAGCAACTATAATTCACAAATTATGACAAAAGTAGTATTTAAAAATTGACAATTCCAGAGCTGCTAAATATCTCAAAAGACGCATCATTGGGCGACGCATCACTTCATTTTACAATCAACTTACAGAAGTCTCGCCTTGCGAAACAACAACAGCGCCATCAGCTAATCGGGCTATATGCCCAGTTTCAAAACGGATCACATCTCGCTCACCAACACCTACATGTGCATCAATCTGCGTGGTTCCTAATACCCTGACTGTATGCAGTGAAAAATAAAACTGACATTTCCTTAAAAACGCTTTGAATGATCGCACTCTGCATGGCAACATCCTAAAAAATTGAGAGTAGATTGATTAGATTATGACTTATCACAAAACCTTAAAAACCTACAGAACAAGTTATCACGGAAATCCTGACAGTGATACAGAAAAATATCTAAAATATACGAAGATAACGAGTAATTACAGATTCTCTGAACTCTGTTTAGATTTTTTCATTTTAGCATGTTTTTCCTTTTTTTTTGATGAAAACAACAGCTGAGCTCCTAACAACGATATAAATAAGCTTCAAATATCAAAGCGCACCTCCTTGCTGATGATTACACTCGATGTTGTTGAAGACTGTTTGAAATTTAAAAACTATAGCTCATATGATGTTCAACACCAAAAAATGGCAATTAAGATCAGTTCTAGAATGCCAGAACCGGACATTTAACTGAAAACAATTGCATACCAAATGATGAAGTGCTATAGAAAATAAATCAATTATAATCCATTCCTTGTTCAATAAATTTTTCAAAGGTGCAGAGTGCACAAGTCGAAAGTACTGCACCGATAATCAGGAAAGGTAAAAGTTCGGTAAGCTACTTGCAATACTCATGGTATAGTGAACTTATAAAAGATTTTAATAAATGCAAAAATTTTTTTTTTAAGATTTTGAACAATCTGTGATTCGCACACGATACTGTGCCAAATTTCAAAAAGTATACGGTAGCAGTGATCGAACTCTGCTGTTACAACAGATGAAGGGAATATCTAATATCCACATATATCCAATACCAGTGCACGTGAAGCAAAAGGTACATCTGACGATACAATATATGAAGAAATCATCTTTCCGTCATTGACTTTTCATCCTTCCCACTGTTAGCAGTCCAGGGATCATGCTCTATAAGCGTGTCTTGGTTTCTTCACCATCTAATGTTACCTTCATAAAAATCCAGAAAATAAAGTTATACTCCGTGATAAGATCATCATTTCATTTCATTTTAGCTTATTTTTGTATCAGAACAGTATAAAATATTATATGGTGAAATAAGAATCTTTTGCATGACCACACATTCAGTTTGCAAAGATGTGCCAGAATATATGGCTCTACAAATATAATTTGGATGTAATTAAAAATCCAATTCTTCATCATTAAGGCAACAGTAAAACATTTAAAAGATGACAACTTCCCAAAATTGACGCGTTAAAATTAAAACTGAAATATATTTTCCAACATTGCAAAGAAGAAAAAAAAAAAAAATGAACATATTTTCCAACATCGCAAGAAAGAAAAACGAAAGAATAGCATCTTATAGCCAGGAAAAAGAGTACACTTAATAGAAAAATTTGCAAATAGGATTCCAGAGTTTGGAATGTTAAGTCCTGTACAAATAAACTGAAGGCTAATGTTTAAATAAAAATTTAACAAAATAGAAATCATCACAAATAACATACATGAATGAAGGTGAAAGATTTGGAATTCACACTGATGCATAACCCTGACGTTTCGCTCGAGCTCGGCCAACCAAATATGCAATTAAAACAATGATCACCAATGCGGCAAGACATACTCCAACAACTATAGGCACTAAATCGGAAGTACGAACATCCAGCTGGCAAATATTGTATTCTGTAACAGCTACTTAATTAGAAAATTACTCGATCACTTTATCTATTCTTCTCTGACTCTTACCTCTCAAAGATAGTTGGAAAAATCTGGGAGGAAAACGATAGAAAAACAAATAAATCAATATAAAATTAGTTTGTATGAAAGTCAGATGTTTGAAAAGCGAAACCAAAAATTTGTTCTTCTTTTAACATACCTTGGTTTTCTGGAAACTCAGTAGTATTGAAATGAGCGTATGCAGTGAGCCGTACATTATGAAGAGTTACTGCAGAACCTCCTTCGAAGCTAAGAATTGTTTCTGAACACTTGTATGCTCCGTTACTGCTGGCACTCACGTCGAGCTCTGCATGTTTATCCATCAGATACATATGAAGTGATTCTATAAATATGCTGCATATAAAATAAGCTCTTAAATCGATTACCACTAAATGCTTGTAATTCACTTTATTCGCACTTCTACATAATGCGATGCATCAAACTACAAATGTGAACAATTTCTCGAAAAGATTTCCCTTCTCTCCAATTTTCTAAATATTTCCTAAATGTACAGTTATCCGAACTTTTTGTTCAGCAAGAACATTTATACCTGTAGAATTCAATTTTTGTTCGAAATACACTGCCAATGTAAAATTACTGATTAAGAATGAATCATCTTTTTGTTTGAAATGAATTGCTAAAGTTGAGTTCTTCAAACCAACAGGACTGTTAAAACTGCAAAACGTTTTTTTTTTTTTTTTTTTTTTTTTTTTTTTTTTTAATACTAACATCTCTACAGAATCACATTCTTGTTATTCTGAAAAAAATAAGTAAAAAAAAAATTAAACAATCGAATTGTTAAATAACTGACAATTATGGAACGATAAAATAGATTTTCGTATGTTAAAATGAGGATTCAAGGACATGTTAATTCGATGATCGAATGAAATAGGGAAAATAATGCTTGCTTATGTTATCTTCTAAACATTAATAAATTCTGCTTTTGAAATGATTAACATAATGCTATTATAGCAGCGCAATATATGCAAGAGAAACCTTATGTAAATGTGCTGTGTTCCTTTGCACGAACCATCTCCGCGCCCACTGATGTTGAATTTAAATTGCTCCGTGCTATTGTCAGACTTCAAAATCATATAAATATATGAATGCATGTGAAGTTAATTTCAGTCAAAAACAATCAGAGTTAAAGTAAACAGAGATCTCGAAAAAAAAGTACATTTTACTTGAGCTTTAAGTTAAACACAAGAAAACTAATCAAACCTTTGTATAATGAAGAACACCAGTAATGTTTGAATCCATAATGATGCATGATGTATTGTCCGTGTCTTTGACAAAGTAATGATCACATGCAACGATTGGACCATAAACTACTGCAAATGAAAAAAATATTTCAAAAGATTTAAATATTTCTATGAATACAAGAAGGTGATACTATATTAATTTCATTTAGATATGAATCCGGATGGAAATAAAAATTAGAAAAAAATGAATTCATACCGAAGAACACCAACAAAAACATTGATGCCATGCCCACTGTCATACCAAAATTTTAACAGCTGAAACAGTAAGTAAAGAAATGACAGTTTTACGTCTCCTATCTAATTGCATGTGATAACAAAATTCTACACAAACATCTTGAAACGAATCTAAAGCAACAAGGAAATTGGGATATAGACGGATGGACGACAAAGAAATAAACCGGCACGTATTTCTAAATAGTGCAAACAATTAAAGATGTAGCTTTTTGGATCTTACTGTGCACATCCTGGAATAGTAAGAGATAACAAAGTGTAAAGTGTAGGAGGCATCTCTGGAGAAGTGTAAAGATATAAAAACCCCCAAAAGCCAAAATTTAACATTAACAACTTACTAGAACAAACCATAACTTGCTGTTAGGAACCTAACTTTTCAGTGTAATTAAATAATTCAACCACATCCCAATTAGAGAAAAGAGAATGGATACGACTGAACATTTTTTCCTATTGACCGTTCCTCACATCTAACTCCTACAACCTAGTGATAATGACAACATCAGTATTAATGACCAATTGCCGAAATCAATCAGATTCGTAATACGACAATGTGGCCCCTTCTTACGTCGTCTCAGTGATTATTACTGGGTTCTCCAGAGATGCCTCCTAAAATTAGAAACAGCCGTCACCTACCAATAGATGAAAAAAGATCAGACTAAAGAAATAGATCTAATAAAGACCACGACAAAGACACTTATGTTATGGGAACACCATGCTTAAATATTATTTCTCTCCCACTTTCTAAATGGCACATTTCAACCTGACCTTTATTAAACATGTGGCATTATGCATTCAAATATCGACCTATCTTTTCACAAACGATTTTAACATGATATAATACAGAAGTGAAAAGAACTGATCTACATCACAAGTCCAATATCATTCATAGTAACTTTTATTCCGAACAAAGAAATCTGCATTTCTGTTAAACTGCATGATTAATACAAGTTTTCAAAAAGTCGGAATTATTCCAGTTATTCGAATGCATAGCAACAAGCGTTTCAATTTCGGTTTCACATCTGCCTGATCCATTCCTTTCTGTAGTGAAAGGAAACATTAAATGTTTTCTTCAAGACCACTCATATGTTCTCAATCCCTAAGAATGAATAGAACACTAGAAAATAATTCTGTTCTGTACAAACAAACAAGCGCTTTAATAAAACATGCAGGATCTAGACTTAAAAAGGTGGAGGTAGAAACATAGGTGGTGGTACTGGTGTTGGTCGTATCATTGCGGCAGCTGCAGAGGGAGGAGGTGGTGGAGGTTCGTCGTGCTGAGATATTCGATCGAACCGAAATGCGAACTGCATGAAAAACTGAAAAAAACGTTAGACAATGAAAACGCAATATCAGCTTAAATGAATACGCAAAACATCACACATATATCTTGTTACGCATCACTGTTATATATATACCTTTTGTCACTTCTTTTCATTATTTTGTATATAAGTATAGAACATTTCGATCTGCTAAAGTCTTTCCAGTGAAGAGTAGGGAAAAAGTGTTGACCACAAACATTTTTTCTCTGAGCCCTGCTCAATTCAATAACATAAATTGAACTCATATAATCAATCAACGTGATGCCCTGACTCTACTGCTCACAACAAATTCTAGTAGTTTGGAATTAATGGAATTATTCCAATCCAGTTATGATTGTAATTGTTCAGTTCATATAATCAGACAACGTAAGGCCGTGACTCCACTTCGGTTTCACATCTGCCTGACCCATTTCTTTCTGTAGTGAAAGAAGACATTAAATGTTCTTTTCAAGATCACTCATATGTTCACAATACTTAAAAGAAAGAATAGATTACTGAAAAATAATTATGTTCTGTACAAATACACGAGCACTTTAATAAAACCTGCAGAATTTAGAGGATTTCGATAGCTAATGGTAATTGAATTAC